CAAGTTGCCTAGGCGGGTCTCAAACCCATGGGCTCAGGCAATCCACTCACCTCAGCCTCCTAAAGTGCGGGATTGCAGGCTGAACCACCAAGCCCGGCTAGAATAGTATTAAAGATTTCAAGAAGGAAAAGAATTACTCAATACATAAAAGGGTTGTGGTCCAGACTAATGATCAGTAATAGCAGCTTTTCTAACTATATACCATGCCAAAGAACCAACCAACAGTTCCTCAAGAATAATCTTAAAAAACTTTCTGGGCCGAGCGCAGTGGCTCAGTCTATAATCCCAGCACTTTGGGAGCTGAGGCAAGAGGATTACCTGAGCCTGGGGGTTCAAGACCAGCCTGAGCAACTTGTTTAGACCTCGTCTCTACAATAAATCACAAAAACTAGCCAGGCGTGTCAGCGTGCATATGTAGTTCCAGCTACTTGGAAGGCTGAGGTGGAAGGATCGTCTAAGCCCAGCAGGTCGAGGCTGTGGTAGCTGTGAGCGTGCCACTACAGTCTATCCTGGGCGATAAAAGTGAGACTCCAACTTAAAAAAAAGAAAAGAAAAGAAAAAGTTCTAGACAACCTATATAAAAACATATACAAGCTTCTGTGATACATCTGTTTATTTCATGTAGAGTGTATAAAGAGATGTCTCTGAGTTCCCTAGTACCCTTTTACTGGTCACCAACATATTATTCTCAAGGAGAAGCAGCCTAGCTAATCAACATTCCCTTAACCTTGGTTGTAGAGTACACAAGGAAAGAAGGTGCCAAGCAAAACCAGTTTGAAGGAGGATGAAGACAAATCTGGGCCAATTTTTATTGCTGTTCCAAATGGAAAAGAACAGAGGATGAGAGATGAAAAAGGATTGAAGGTAGGGAAGGAATAAGGCTCTAAAGGAGTTTTTGTGCTTGGTTATTTACTTTTGTTAATTAGCAATAGTTTCACGGTCTGAGATTCATGTTGTTGTGGGATATCTAATAATTAACTGAATCTTTTGCTTATAAATTATCTCATTGTTTCTCTTAGATAACTTTATGGGAGCATTAATCCCTACAAAATAAACTATAGAATAGAACTAGTACCCAGTTTTTCTGTTTAATACTCCAGAAATATTTCATACCTATATAATCATAAATATTTATATATAGACCTCTCTTTACACAGATGAGGACATGTCATACTCTTTGTTCTGTGTCTTACTATTTTCTTTTAATGATGTTTGAAATATCTGGAAGATCAGTTAGATCTCTGTATGTGTATATGTGTACAATTGTTTTTGTTGATACATTATATGTATGTACCTTTCTTTATCCCGAACTCACTATATTGGACATTTAGGTTGTTTCTGGTCTTTTCACTATTGTAAACTGTGCTGCTGTAAGTATCTTTGAATATAAGTCTTTGTACACATATGTGATAATATTTAATATCTATATTCCTAGAATGAGCATATGCATTTTGATAGACATTTTGATAGACGCTTCAAATATTTGCTCTATTAAAGTTGTAGCAGCAGCGTTATACAGTTATAATGTACATTGATTTTTCCAGTAAGAATCATGAAAAATTCTATTCCTAGATTTTTAGAGTTAAGATGCTAGAAATGTGACAACTTGAGAGGACATTTTGTATTCATATTTAATTACAAATCTTGTTAAATTTAAAAATATCATATTAAATTGTTCCTGCAGGCTGGGTGCAATGGCTTATGCCTATAATCCCAGCACTTTGAGAGGCCAAGGTGAGAGGATTGCCTGAGCCCATGGGATCAAAACCAACCTGGGCAACTTGGCAAGACCTCATCTTTACAATAAAATTTAAAAATTAGCTGGGCATGGTGGTGCCTGTAGTTCCAACTACTTGGAAGGCGGAGGCGAAAGGATCACCTGAGCCCAGCCGTGAGCATGCCACCGCATTCCAGCCTGGGCGACAGAGTGAGACTCCGGCTCAAAAACTAAAATGAAATAAAATAAATTGTTCCTGCAGCTGCATTATATAAGGCTCTCTATGTCATTTTAATTGAGCACCTTATGGCCCCCTTTTACTGTGCTTTTTTTCAGGTGCTAAAGTGGAATTTCACTACACCACGGGATGAATACATTGAGCAACTAAAGACTCAGATGTCTAGCTGTGTAGCTAAATGGTTACAAGATGAGATGTTTCACTCAGACTTTCAGCATCATAACAAAGCCCTAGCTGTCATGGTTGATGTAAGTCTGCAATAGATAAATATGCATGTATCTCAGGCATGTGAAAATACTGAGTCCTGTGAAATAATCAGAAGTTTGCAGGACTTGTAAAGGAAATGGAATATATCCTGTTTTCTGTTTTGTAGAGCTTATTTGATTGAATAAATAACTGTCTATATTTTTTTAGTTCTTAATTGGAGACTTAGAAATCTGTCATTTTCTTTTTGGGCTCCAGTAAAATTTCAGAGGTTCTTGCCTAGTAGAACTCAAGTTTCTTTTCTTTTTTTTTTTTTAATCAATATATTTTATTATGATATTGTGGGGTACAGTTAAGGATTAGGTATACAAATATGCTTCGTTCAGGCACCCTTGTTGAAAAGAGGTGTCTCCCCATCCCCAGACAGATATTTACTACCGTTAATCCCATCTCCCTTCCCCTCCTCTCCCCCATAGTTTCCCACCACTGTCAGTCATTTTCTTGTAGTATTACATTGGATAGAGCTTAAGTTTCTATACATCCTTGTTTATGAGAGTTTTGTTTTGTTTTGTTTTGTTTTAAGCACTTGGAGAGTGAAAAAGAAGGTGTCATTGGTTGCCTGGATCTTATCTTAAAGTGGCTTACCCTGCGGTTTTTTGACACCAATACAAGCGTCCTGATGAAAGCACTAGAATATTTAAAATTGCTTTTTAACCTGCTAAGTGAGGAAGAGTATCATCTTACTGAGAATGAAGCATCTTCCTTCATTCCCTATCTTGTCCTCAAGGTAATGTGTTGTTCTCTCTCTGGGAGACTACTTAAGTTCCCGGCTGATTTTGTTCCTATACTTTTATTCCCTCTCCCTTTTCATTGATTATTTGATGATTCCTTCCACCACTCATTCCTATGTCCCTGTTCTTTCAAGATGTAGTAATGCATGGTGAGAACCTTGCTACTTAGAAAATGCCTCACTCCATCATTATTTTCCTTGTTGACTAGGTTGGAGAACCAAAGGATGTCATTCGTAAAGATGTTCGTGCCATCCTGAACCGGATGTGCCTTGTCTACCCAGCTAGCAAGATGTTCCCCTTCATCATGGAAGGAACCAAATCCAAAAATTCTAAGCAGAGAGCAGGTGAAGCAACAATTAAAATTGAGACGTGAGTCTCTGCAGCAGCAACCTATAGAAGAAATAGTTTATGGATGAACAAGGACATTTCTTCAGTGTCTGTATAGTTTTAATTTCAACCTTATGATTTAGACTGTGAGATTGATGAGTTGCACACTGGTGGAGCCTTGATATCAGGTGATACAGGCACCACTCAGTACCACCCTGGTGACAAAATCAAGTGCACAGGGGCCATCTGACTCACAGGCATCTTTTCCCTTGGTTTCATTGGTAACAGGCAATTAACAAAAATTCTATGCAGAGCCAGAATAAGATTTTAGTCCTTCATATATACCAAGGGAAATTTCTCTTGTAAGGATAAGTCTCTATGCCAAATGTGTTGAGTCTCATTAATCTAGCCTTTCGCCCCTTTCAGAGTGCCTGGAAGAGCTGGGATGTCTGGTTGAGTCCTATGGCATGAATGTTTGCCAACCAACCCCAGGAAAAGCCTTAAAGGAAATAGCTGTTCACATAGGCGACCGTGACAATGCTGTACGCAATGCTGCCCTCAACACCATCGTAACGGTGTATAATGTACATGGGGATCAGGTGTTCAGACTGATTGGAAATGTGAGTGACTCTTCTCTGAGTTTTGTCAGTATGTTGTGAAAAGAATTGCAAGATCCCCTAGGTGTTAGGTCTCCTGTCATCTCAATTGTAGCTAAGTTTTTTACAACTTTTTAGTAAACTCAGTCTATCAATGTGCCTAGAATCCAGATAGACTCTTAAGGTATCTCTGATCAGGCTGTGTTTTACTGGAAATCTAGTTTTCTTTTTTTTTTTTTTTTGAGTCTCACTCTCGCCCAGGCTGGAGGGCAGTGGGACCTGCTCACGGCCACCACAGCCTTGAGCTGCTGGACTCGGGCGATCCTTCCACTTCAGCCTTCCAAGTAGCTGAGGACTATAGGCGTGCACCACTATGCCTGGCTAATTTTTTTGATTTATTGTTTAGACAAGATCTCACCAAGTTACCCAGGCTGGCCTCAGACCCCTGGACTCAGGCAATCCTTTCACCTCGGCCTCCCAAAGTGCTGGGTTTACAGGCATGAGCCACTGCACCCGGCTATGTTTTTCTTTTCTAAAACAGATTGCTATGAATAGAATGCTCAGAAATGAGAGCTATTTTTAAATAAAAAAATCTGAGCTAGTCCAGGGTTTAAATTCAGACTGGCAATCTGCTCTGTAATTTTTAATGCACTTAGTTTTTAGTTAACAAGTACTCACTTGTGTACAGTGTAGATACTGGTGTCTGTCAGTCAAGAGCTATAAGCCATGAGCCAATTTTCCAGGCACAATAGGTTCTGCCTCTGGCTTCTTATTTCCTTTGAGCCAGTCACAGTTGTGGCTGAGCTCAGTTCTTCTCTCCAGTAGCCTCGTAGTGTCACCATATATTTATGCTATGCTGAAATATTTTTATTTATAATTATAACTAATAATTATAACTACTAATTAAATTCTCACTACCACCGAGTGGAGGTTATAAAGCAGTTGGGAATTTTACAGGGGACTAAAGTGAAGTTTCTTGCCCATCGTCACACAGCTGGATAGTGGTAACAAAACAATAAAGTGAAGTTTCTTGCCCATCGTCACACAGCTGGATAGTGGTGACAAAACAAAAATGGGCAAACTTCATTTAATGTTTTAACTTTTTATTTGTAGTTATTAATTGTCGTTCCTCTTCTGTCCTTCTTTCGTGTCTCCTTTATAGCAACTAGGCAGGTATTGACAGTAGTAGGTTTTAATATGTAGTGTTTTGAAAGTAAATTTATCCTTACATAGTAGGTTCTATTTGCTTCGATATGAAAATAGGTATTCTTGAGTCCTCCCATTAGGTTTTTAAATTCTCCTCATACTTTAGTAGATGGATGTGCAAATAAACTAAATTTGGCATCTTTTTATAGCTTTCTGAAAAGGATATGAGCATGTTGGAGGAGAGGATTAAGCGGTCGGCAAAGAGGCCCTCTGCCGCACCAATTAAACAGGTGGAAGAGAAGCCTCAGCGCACGCAGAACATCAGCTCCAATGCCAACATGTTACGCAAGGGACCAGCTGAGGACATGTCTTCCAAACTCAAGTATGTAGAAAGAGAAGTTGTCTGAGAGCATCTCTGTGGACTTTGCCTTGTGTGCTCAAGAGCTTGTCCCGTAACATAATCTTGAGTTCTTGTAGCCATTATCATGCATGACAGAGTGTCTGAGTAAATGTCTTGTAACCAAATGTTTAATCCTTCGGTCTTCATTGTCTTTGTCTCAAAACCACTTCTAAATGGTCTTGTGCCTTCTTTCACTGCTTTTCCGTGGACAGAATTATGTATCGCACTTATAGGATGTAAGTACTGCCTGCTAATTTCTCATTAGCAGGACTCTTATATCTTTCTAACTTCTGACTTGGCTTCATCCCCTCTGGAAGGCAACTGACTTAGAGTTTATAACCAGGATAGAGGGTGTCCATAAGTACCCATCAATCAAGCCTTCCAGAAAAGTTTACTGACTAGCAGAAATGGCAACTCAGTGTCATCTGGCCTTCTTCCTTGTGTTATACTTGTGTTTAGTTCCCTGTTCTTGAGATAAGGCTAAATTAAATGCATGCAACCCAGAACTGGCTTGGCAACTCAAAATACTGCCTCCTAAGCAAGACGGCTCTATTTTTGGGTTGTGTCATGAGTATAATTTTAACCACTTTGAATTTGGAAACTTTTGAATCCCTATTTCTTGGATGTAAAACTGGCCCTGTCAAGAGTGAATATTCCTAAAATGGGGTGACAACTATCCCTCAAAGTATAAAATGTACTGAACACAGCATGGAATGGTACTTATGACTAGGAAAACTGAAACACTAGTTAATTTGGTGGAAAAGAACCAGCCAGTCTCGATTTTTCTTATATATTTGTATATAAATAGTGAGGAGTTTTAAGCCAATATAAATATACTTTATTAATTATTTTCTGCTCCATCTGGAATAGAAGTACAAGATTTGTTGGCTTTAGAGAACTAAAGTGAATATTTATAACTTGACAGATAGTAGAAGTACAAATTAAAGTTATCTGCTCTCTTAGATACTCATGAGCCAATATTGTTGCCCACTGAGGGCATTTGCTTAGACTCAACGACTTAAATCATTCAGGGGGGCTGAAACCAGAAGTTGAACATCTGTCCTGAAGCTTTGGGACAACTGGCAATGCTACTCTTGCCCTTTGGTTAAGAAATCTCTTTTAGTTCAGGAGCCTCTTTTTGCTTCCCTTAGCCAAGCCCGAAGCATGAGTGGGCATCCTGAGGCAGCCCAGATGGTCCGCCGAGAATTCCAGCTGGATCTAGATGAGATTGAGAATGACAATGGTACAGTTCGATGTGAAATGCCAGAACTTGTTCAGCACAAACTGGATGACATTTTTGAACCTGTCCTTATTCCCGAACCCAAGTAAGTTAACCTTTTTCATTGAAATACAAATAGTACACGATCATCAGAGTGCAAATGTGAAATGAGCTCTCTGTAGTAGTAGCTAAAACTTTTTAGAACTGATTACTATCTGAATGATGGCAATTTTTTACTAAGACCTACATCTAGAGGGGAATTAAATAACTCTGGTTGACTGCTTTGTCTTGTAATAGAGATTGATGTTTTCCCTTTGCTCTGCTATCTAGAATCCGGGCTGTTTCTCCACACTTCGATGACATGCACAGTAATACAGCATCCACAATCAATTTCATTATCTCCCAAGTAGCCAGTGGTGATATCAACACGAGTATCCAAGCTCTAACACAGGTAATGGGATGCTCCTGTGATAGAAATTCCATCAGTGGACACAGAAACTGTAAAAGTGATGGGTTGCACACTAGCAGAGTCATAGTACTGGGGGACACAGGCAATATTCAGTACAACCCTGAGGGGACAAGTGCACAAGGACCACTCAGTCATCACTTGTCTCAGACGATATAGTTCTAATAGAGCTTTACTTTTTTTTTTTTTGAGTTGGAGTCTCACTCTGTTGCCCAGACTGGAGTGCAGTGGCTGCTCTCAGCCACTGCAGCCTCGCCTGCTGGGCTCCGGCGATCCTTCCGCCTCAGCCTTCCAAGTAGCTGGAACTACAGGCACCCGCTACCACGCCCGGCTAATTTTTTTTTTAATTTATTGTAGAGATGAGGTCTTGCCAAGTTGCCCAGGTGGGTCTCGAACCCGCAGTCTCAGGCAATCCACTCACCTCAACCTCCCAAAGTGCTGGGATTACAGACTGAGCCACCGAGCCCGGCTTACTTTTTTTTTTTTTAAGAGGTGACCTCTGACCATGTTGTCGAGGCTGGAGTACAGTGACTATTCACAGGCATTATCATAGCACATGGCTGCCTTGAACTCCTGGGCAGTCCTCCCAGGTCAGCCTCCTGAGTAACTGGGACTATAGGTGTACACTCTTGTACCCAGCTTAGGTTTGCATTTTTATAATTGTATTCATTAACCAGAGACTAGAGATGCAGCAGTAAACAAGTAGGTACCAACTCTCATGGAACTTATTCAAGTTTTGCTGGACAGAGACAAGTAAGTAAATAAGAAAATATCAGATAGCAGCAACTACTGTGTAAATGTAACTTATGGGTTGATTGGGAAAAGGAACTGAGTAGTTACTTAGATTGAGTGATCAGGAAAAGTGATTTGCACAGGGCTAAGAACATTCTAAGCAGAGGAAACAGCTAGTACACAAAGACCATAGGATAGGAATGAACTTCGAGTGCCAGGAAACAGTAGAAGGTCCATGTGCCTGGGGCACCATGTTCAAGGGGACGAGTGTACAGAATGAGACTGGAGAAACATAGGGCTTTAAAAGTGCCCAGGATACGTTGTTTGGATTTTATTTTAAGTGTGATGGGAGGCCATTAGAAAGTTTTAAGGGAAAAAGCTATATGTTAAAGAAACAATTATTTCTTCTTCCCTTTCGTTTTTGAGTCAGGGTCTCACTCTGTCACCCAGACTAGAGTGCAGTGGCACCATCACAGCTTACCCACCTAAGCCTCCCAAGTAGTACGTGTGCCACCACACCCAGCTTTTTAAAATTTTTTTATTTTTTAGACATGAGATTTTGCTGTGTTGCCTGGGCTTGTCTCGAACTCCTGGGCTCAATCTTCCTCAATCTGGCCAATACTTGGCCTCCCAAAGTACTGAGATTACAGGTGCAAGCCACCATACCCAGCTCATCTTCCTTTACTTCCCTTCCCTAACAGTCCAGTCCTAGAGATATTAGGTGGGGCACAGCAACTAAGCACCCACCATTGCAGCATAGGGAGATGGGAGTGGGGAGCCATAGAGGCCCAATGTTAGGCTCTCTAAGCCCAAGCATTGTGAGAAGGGTATTCCTTCAAGAGCAGTGACACCAAGTTTGAGTCAGAGCCAAGCTGAATAAAGGGGATGTCCATGCAGGGAGTCAGCCTGCCATGGTAGTAGGACCCCAAGCAGGATGAGGGGGATATCCACCTGTGTTGAGAGGGGGAGGGGGCACATACAGGATGGCTCAAAATGGGGGGTTGGAGCTGAACCAAGAAAAGTGAGCATCTTCCTTGGGAATGGCTGGCACCAGAGATGGGAGACTAGCTCCATACAAAGGGATTGGCCACTAAATAAATATAATCAAGAAAATGGGAGCCAAGTTTCTCACTGTTAGAGAGGAGATACTGAATAAATGTAGAAGGAGAGCAAAATAGAATGAACTCTGGTATTGGACCAGAATTAGATGTAATAGTATAAGCTCAGGTTTTCATATATAGATGTAGAAGTAACTGTGTAACTATGTGTGTATATAAACATACAAAGATATAGTTATATATATATATACACACACAGAGTATACATTATACAGTTATGCACTGCGTAATGACAGGGTCATGTTCTGAGAAATGTATTTTTTTTTCTGAGTCAGAGTCTTCTGTCATTGCCCAAGCTGGAGTACAGTGGCACACTCACAGGCACTATAGCCTCGACCTGCTGGACTCAGGCAATCTTTCTACCTCAGCCTTCCAAGTAACTGGAACTACAGGCATGTGTCACCACACCCAGCTAATTTTTTTATTTATTGTGCACACGAGGCCTCACCAAGTTGACTAGGCTGGTCTCAAAGCCCTGGGCTCAGGCAGTCCTCTCACCTCCACCTCCCAAAGTGCTGGCATTACAGGCGTGAGCCACCACGCCTGGTGAGAAATGCATTGTTAAGCGATTTTGTCATTGTATGAACATCAGAGAGTATGTTTACACAGATCTACATGGTATAGCCTATTGCTTACTCCCAGGCTGCAAACCTGTACAGCGTGTTACTGCACTAGATACTACAGGCAATTGTAACACAATGGTATTTGTGTATCTAAACAAAAGATACCATAAAAATATGGCAACATAATCTTATGGAACCACTGCTGCGTATGTGGTCCACTGTCGGCCAAGCTGTCGCTAAGGGAATCATGACTGTACTCAGCTCTTTTCATTGAGTAGAGTGGAATACAGCAGTACCTCTGCAGCAATGAACACACTCAGGCCTTGCCTTCTAAATACCATTTTCCACGAAAAAGGAATGAGGACTCCTTGGAGAAGTAGCTGATTCCAGGGCTAAATCAGAGAAATTGCAGGATGTTCCTGGAATATCTCACTGTGCCATACAGCAAGGATGGGCTCAGAGAACAATAAGGACATGTCAGTAGGACACAGCGAACAGCTAGAACAGACTCCCTGTGTTCAGTTGAGAAACAGTGTGAGCATCTAAATAATAGAATAAAATATAACTTAGTAAACTGAATAAAACTCAGTATGTTGATAAAAATTTAATAATATTAAGAAATCACAAGTGTGTGCACTAATTAATTGAAAAATAAGTTATTTACTTAGTTTATAGAACCTCCCCACAAAATTCAAAGAACAAATATATAAAATTTACAGAAAAATATAAATTACCAAGAGTAATTTGACAATGAACAAACCTGGCAGACACCACCTTAATCAGTTGATCAAAATGAACATCATTGGGCAACCCCCTTGGGTCCCCTCCCATTGTGGGAGCTTTTCTGTCTTCTCAATAAATCCTACTTTCTCCAAAAAAACTAATAATAATAATACAACAAAATGAAATCATTTGCCACCTGATAGAATCTAGTGAGAGTTCAGCATCACTTTGCTCATATTTCAAATGTTGCATAACCTGGATCTAATCATGAGGAAACATCAGACAAATGCAAATTAAGGGAAATATACAAAGTGTCAAGATCAAAAAAGTCAAGGAGAAACTGAAGAACTGTTATAGACTGCAAAGAGACTGAGACATGACAACTAAATGCAGTGGATGATTCCAGACTGAGCTTTTACTATAAAGGACATAATTAGGGGTCATTGGAGAAAATGGAATGCAGTCTGAGGATTAGATAGCAGTAATATCAATGTTATTGTCTTGATTTTTATATTTGTATCATAATTTTGAAGGAGAATGCCCTTGTTATAAAGAAATATACACTAGCACTTCAGAGGGTCATGGAGCATCAGATTGACAACTTATTCTCAAATGATTTAGTATTAAAAAGTTCCTTTAGCTGGGCTCGGTGGCTCAGCCTGTAATCCCAGTGCTTTGGGAGGCTGAGGTGAGTGGATTGCCTGACCCCACGGGTTCGAGACCCGCATGGGCAACTTGGCAAGACCTCATCTCTACAATAGATCAAAAATTAGCCAGGCTTGGTAGTGCATGCCTGTAGTTCCAGCTACTTGGAAGGCTGAGGCAGAAGGATCCAGAGCCCAGCAGGTCAAGGCTGCAGTGGCCGGGAGCGGCCATTGAACTCCAGTCTGGGTGACAGAGTGAGACTCCAACTCAAAAAAAAAAAAGTTCCTTTTGCTGGGCCGGGAATGGTGGCTCAAGCCTGTAATCCCAGCACTTCGGGATGTCGAGGTGAGAGGATTGCCTGAGCCCATGGGCTCAAGATTAGCCTGCGCAACTTCGCAAGACCTCATCTCTATAATAAATGAAAAAAATCAGTCTCACATGGTAGCATGCGCCTGTAGTTCTGGCTACTTGGAAGGCCGAGATGGAAAGATCACCTGAGCCCAGCAGGTCGATGCTGGGGTAGCCGTGAGCATGCCACTGCACTCCAGCCTGGGTGATGGAGTAAGACTCCAGCTCACCCAAAAGAAAAAAATGGTCCCTTTACTATAACTCTCAGCGTTTCTACAATGGTTTGCACTTTTTTTTTATTGTGGAAAAAGTTATTCTGGCCACTCTAGAGACCAGATTATATAGTCAGGGCAAGAGTGACTTTCAGGAGACCTGTTGGGAAGCCATGGCCAAAATTCATATGAAAGATAATATCGGGCTGGGCATGGTAGCTCACACCTATAATCCCAGCACTTTGGGAGGGGGAGGTGAGAGGATTGTCTGAGTTCATGGGTTTGAGACCAACCTGGGCAACATGGTGAGACCTTGTCTCTACAATAAATCAAAAATTTAGCCAGGCATGTTGGCGCGTGCCTGTAGTTCCAGCTACTTGGAAGGCTGAAGCGAAAGGATTGCCTGAGCCCAGCAGGTCGAGGCTGCGGTGGCTGTGAACGTGCCACTGTACTTCAGCCTGGGCAACAGAGTGAGACTCCAACTCAAAAAAAAGATTAGCTGGGCATGGTGGCACATTCCTGTGGTTCCAGCTACTTGGAAAGCTGAGGCAGAAAGATCACCTGAACCCAGTGGGTCGAGGCTGCTGTGGCTGTGAGCATGCCACTGTACTCCAGGGCAACAGAGTGAGACTCTGACTTGGGCGGGCGGGGGGAGTGGTGTAGAAAATATCAGCAGGCACAGTGGCTCATGTCTGTAATCACAGCACTTTGGCAGGCAGAGGCAAGAGGACTGTCTGAGCCCAGAGGTTTGAGATCAGCCCGGGCAACTTGGCGAGACTGTCTCCACAATAAATAAATAAAATTAGTTGGGCATGGTAGTGTGCTGTAGTTTCAGCTATTGGGAAGGCTGAGGTGAAAGGATTGCCTGAGCCCAGTAGGTTGAGGCTGTGGTGGCCATCAGCATGCCACTGTACTCCAGCCTGGGTAACAGAATGCGACGCCAACTCAAAAAAAAAAAAACAGATCATGTGCCACTAGGATGATAATGGTGGAGAAGAAAAGTGCGTGCTTTCAGGGTATCTTTTTGCAAGTAGAGTCCACAGAACTTGGCAATAAGTTGTATAGAAGTATAGTGCTTAATTACCATTAATGACAATCAATGTACTGAAACAAAGATCAATGGACCAATTTATAAGAAACCTGAGTTTTGAGTTTGGACTAAGTAGTATGCTCTTTCTCATCCTTAATTTTCTCATCTAGTAAATGGAGACCTTAATATCAGCCCTGTCTAGAGAGTCTAAAAAGCACTCTTTAAATTAAACGTTTAAACACAGAGATTATTATTCCCTGAACTAGATAGTCTCTTAGAATAGGATCTGTGACTGATTCACCTAACAGTATCTTGCTCAATAAATATTTGTTGAATAATTGAATCCCGAAGGACTAGTTATTTGTATGTAAAGTGACTGGGTTTTTTTCAAGGTAAGATATTAGAAGTGCTTTGCTGATAAATATTCTTTCAGAGAAGTCCCATGTAGTGGCTTCCTGCTATTTCAGAACTATGAAGCTTGGAAAATGTATCTTGAATTTTTTGTTCTCAGATTGATGAGGTCCTGAGACAGGAAGACAAAGCTGAAGCCATGTCTGGCCATATTGATCAGTTTCTGATAGCCACATTTATGCAGCTAAGACTCATCTACAACACACACATGGCAGATGAGAAATTGGAGAAGGATGAGATCATCAAGTTATATAGCTGTATCATTGGCAACATGATTTCGGTAAGGGCACCTCTGCAGAACTTGAGCTTCCCATCGGTCTCTCATCCTGCCCATCTGCTGAAGCTAAAGTCCATGCATGTGTTTCAGTGAGTCCTGTGTCACTTGGTGGGATTTTACACACATCGTTTAGCAAGCTACTGACTGCTTCTGTTGGATGTTGGGTTATGCTCCAGCTTTTCTTATTGTTAGGGTGTTAGGGTATGAAGTAGAATGCTTACAGACTACCTAGAAGTCAGCTTCCTGCTAGAAATATGACACCAATTAGCCAGTAGTGAGAAATTGTGCATAATGACAAATAATTTCACATGTAAAAACAAATACTTTATAATTAGAAGGAAGCACACAAGTTAATTTTGCCTATTACTAGAAGCTTGGGAGAATGTGGTGATTTTTCTTTCCCCTTAATACTCTAAATTTTAGGGAATATAATAGAATTGTGTACCAGAATATGCTCCGCACATTTATCTTTTTACTTCTATACTGAGTTGTAAACCTTTCTGACCCAATTATGTCTGGATAGCTGTTTCAAATAGAAAGCCTGGCCCGGGAGGCCTCCACTGGAGTACTGAAAGACCTCATGCATGGCCTCATCACCTTAATGCTGGACTCTCGGATTGAAGATCTAGAGGAAGGACAGCAGGTGATCCGCTCCGTGAACCTCCTGGTGGTGAAGGTTCTGGAGAAGTCAGACCAGACCAACATCCTGAGGTATGTCCGTACTCTCAGTCATTAGAGCCGGGACATCCCCTTTTGTGTCTGTACTAGAAACCATAAAGTCACTAGATCAGTCATAACTCTAGTAAAGTGATGTATTAACTCTTTTCTTCATCATAGACCAAAGGTATTTCAGCCTGAGACAATAGTCAAAACTAGTAATTACTCAATAAGCTAGCCAATAGGAATTTTTCTAGAATGAGACAGTAACATTTTTCAGTTTCTCAGCTACCAAAGACACTGAAAAATGGAGTGATAAACTTTACCATTTAGTAAGTGGTAACTTGGCTTAAATGATGTTAATTTTCTCAAGTGAATGTCCAGTAGTCCAACACAATTCCTGACCCCTGTGCTCTCAATGGTCATCTCAATTAGATGGATAGAGAGCAATCACACTTGCCCTTCCAATGACTGATTTTAATTGGAATGCAAGTCTGTAACTTGTTAATGCTGTTATGTTTTTTTTTTTCCAGCGCCCTACTTGTTTTGCTCCAAGACAGCCTGCTAGCAACAGCCAGTTCTCCCAAATTCTCAGAGCTTGTTATGAAGGTGAAGTTGAAATGATTTCAGCTCTTTTCTAAGATACAATCACTTTGTTAAAGTATGGGGAAAGAGGAGTTGGAACTAAGAAACAAATGGGCTCAAGTTAGCCAAGTCACACCTGAAAAATATAATTGGTCTTCAGTTTTCCCCTCCTCCAATTTATACCCCAAGCTTAGACCTCAATAATTTTTGGCCTCAAACAATGAAAAGGAGGAGCTATATTATAAATATTTCACCTATTCTTCTAGGATCAAAAGGCAAGAACTTTGATGAGAAATATCATTTCATCTCTTTCATGGAAAACTCCACATGAACATAGCACTAATGTTAAAACTTTATTACACTGTATTAGTATAAGATATTTTGAGGCCGGGCTCGGTGGCTCAGCCTGTAATCCCATGCTTTGGGAGGCCTAGGTGAGTGAATTGCCTGAGCCCGCGGGTTCAAGACCTGCCTGGGCAACTTGGTGAGACCTCATCTCTACAATAAATAAAAAAAGTTAGCTGGGCGTGGTAGCGCGCCTGTAGTTCCAGCTACTTGGAAGACTGAGGCGGAAGGATCGCCGGAGCCCAGCAGGTCGAGGCTGCGGTGGCCGGGAACAGCCATTGCACTCCAGTCTGGGCGACAGAGTGAGACTCTAATTCAAAAAAAATAAAAAAGATATTTTGAGTTAGATTTGGTTTCGCAGCATGAACTCTACTCTACTCTCAGGTACCATAAAAACTCAAGGCAGAATTTCCACATATTCAGGTCATTAAATGATGGCCCCTACCTCTGGAGAGCAAGAAGGAGGAGTAGAGAGATGTACGATAGATGGATGACTGGTTACACTTCAGCCAGTGGCATGGTTATAGTGACTAAAATTTTTCATGTTTTAGCAGCAGACTTGAAAGCTATGATGCACCACATTTATATCCTTGACCATTTTTAGAAGGGGGCCCAGAGCGTAGGGAAGATGAATGGTGATAAACTATCCCCATTCTTTAGTCTAACTCTTCTTTTTTCAATAGTGTCTCTGGAGGATGGTTCGACTATTGCCTGACACCATCAACAGCATTAACCTGGACAGAATTCTTTTGGATATCCACATTTTCATGAAGGTTTTCCCCAAAGAGAAACTGAAGCAATGCAAAAGTGAATTTCCCATAAGGACCCTGAAGACCCTGCTGCACACCTTATGCAAACTGAAAGGGCCCAAGGTGAGTGAGAAGAGCGACTGGTCTCTGAGAGCTGAGGGAGCATTGTGGAGATGGCAGCTGACATTGATTGTGCACTTGGCTCCCTCAGATCCTAGACCACCTCACAATGATTGAAAACAAGAACGAGTCTGAGCTGGAGGCCCACCTGTGCCGGATGATGAAGCACAGTATGGACCAGACTGGGAGCAAGTCTGATAAGGAGACAGAAAAGGGAGCATCTCGAATAGTGAGTGACCTGACTTAGAAGACTAAGGAAAATGAGGTTGCACTGGAAGCGACCTTGTAAAGGTGTAGGTCACCTGGAGACTCTCAGGCCCAAAGAGGAGGCTCGGAGATTGCTATAGTGTAATAACCACATTCACCTTGAAAGCGTAAGAGCTAAACTACTTATAACCATGTGCTTTTAGTTCCCCAAGAAAGGTGCCTGAAGCACTGGTCACCAGATTAATCTACTGTGAGCTAGCTCTGTTTGTTCAGGAGGGATGGGCCAGCTGCTTCTTCAAGCTGAAGTGAATTCTGAGACTGGAGGCATTCAGTGACCCAGACTGTCAGTACTTCTGCTACAGACCAGTGTTGGTGCTTCTGTCATTTGTAGGAACATATCAATAAGGCCCAGATTTTGAGATATAATCTGTTCATGTCCAACCATAGGCTCCTAATTAAGAGCTCAAATATAACCATTCCTTTGTGTCTTTCAACTTTTCAGGATGAAAAATCATCAAAGGCCAAAGTGAATGATTTCCTAGCTGAGATTTTCAAGAAGATTGGCTCTAAAGAGAACACTAAAGAGGTGAGAGTGAAGGGTTAAATAGAATGGAGATCTGCTTTATGGAAAAGAGACACCAACATTCATCGCCACCTCTTCCTTTTTCTTGTTCACCAGGGACTAGCAGAGCTATATGAATATAAGAAGAAATACTCAGATGCCGACATTGAACCATTTCTGAAAAATTCCTCACAGTTCTTCCAGAGCTATGTTGAGAGGGGCCTCCGGGTGATTGAGATGGAGAGAGAGGGCAAAGGCCGTATTCCCACTTCAACAGGTAGATGTCTTTTAGTAGTTTCAGGCCAAGAATAAGCTCAAAATAGCTCCCAGCTCCGGAACCCGAAGTCATGGTGATACAAGTTCATATCCATAACCTTAGTACTTGGTGGTCATCAGTGATCTCCTTGCTATATCTAGTGGTCAATTCTCAGCCATCTGGCTTCCATATTTGGCATGGTCATTGTTCCCTGCCCTTGAGACAACGTTTTCACTTGGTTTCCGGTTCTCCACACTGTCTTGGTTTTCCTCCAGCCTAACTACTGTTCTTTCTTGCAAGGCCTTTGACTCATTGTTGCTTTTCTTGGCCCCTTAATGTTGACATCCACCAAGGTTCAGTCTATGGTTATGTCTTCTCTTTTCTTCTTATTCCCTAAGAAATTTATCTACTCTCACCACTTAAGTACCATTTAAGTCTTCAGCTTAGACCTCCTTCCTAATCTCCAAACTGTTGTATCCTGCATGGCATCTGTACCTAGGTTTCTCACAGAACTTGGAAACGCTCCATGTCAAAAACGAAACTTCTGCTCCTCCCCCAAAACCTGCTCTATCTGCATTCTTCCCTATCTCGTTGATAGCAAGCAACTCTGCCCTTCTAGTTTGTTCAGACCCAAAGCTTCTGAGTCTCCTCTTCCTTTCTGTCTGGAAATCCTTTTGCCTCTACCTGCAAACTAGTTGTAGAGTCTACCCATACTTCTCCTCACCTTCACTGCTACCACTTGGTCTCAGCTGTTTTCTCTCACCTGGATTACAGCGTTGTCTTCCTACCTGATGTCCTTGCTTCCATCCTTGCCTACTTCTGTTCATTTCTACGCGTAGCATCAAAACAACTCTTCAGAAGCGTTTTCCAGAGGTTCTACTTTTCAGCCAAAGCCTTGCAAAGGGCTCTGAGGTCCTACCTTATATGACCGATCAATACCTCTGGGCCCTCATCCCCTGCTGCCTGTGCTCTCCATAACTCATTCCACCCCAGTCCCCCCAGCCTCCTTGTTGTTACTGAAACACACCAGACATGTGCCTTCTTGAGGGCTTTTCTTTCTTTCCTTCTTTCTTTCTTTTATTTTTTATCCAGGCTGGAGTGTGGTGGCACAATCATGGCTCACTGCATCCTTGACCTCCTGGACTTAGGCAATCCTTCTGCCTCAGCCTCTCAAGTTCCTGGAACTCTAGGTGTGCACTGCCACCCCACCTGGAATTACAGGCATGAGCCATTGCACCCAACTTCTTTTCTATGTTTAGATCACAAATACTTACCATTGTGTTATAGTTGTCTACAGTATTCAGTACAGTAACATGCTGTACAGGTTCATAGTCTAGGAGCAATAGGCTATACCATATAGCCTAGGTGTGTAGTAGGCTGTGCCATCTAGGTTTGAATATGTACACTCTGTGATATTCACCAGCGATGAACCCACCTAACCACACATTTCTCAGAATGTGTTCCTGCTGTTAAGCAACACATGACTATATTTGTTGAATGATATGAATGAAACCAGTAACTACATTGAAGCTGAAATGTTACTGCCCCCACGGTGAAAAAGCCACTGTTTGAGAATTACTGATTACAGGATCTAGAGACAAAAAGAAGACCCAGGAGACTTCGGTTACAGAAAATAGCTGTCTTGGCCGGACACGGTGGTTCACACCTATAATCCCAGCACTTTAGGAGGCCGAGGTGAGAGGATTGCTTGAGCCCACGGGTTTGAAACCAGCCTGGGCAACTTGACGAGACCTCATCTCTACAATAAATCAAAAAATTAGCTGGGCGTGGTAGTGTGCACCTGTAATCCTAGCTACTCGGAAAGCTGAGACGGAAGGATAGCCTGAACCCAGCAAATCAAGGCTGCAGCACGCCACTGCACTCCAGCCTGAGTCAGAGAGTGAGACTCTGACTCAAAAAAAAAAAAAGCTGTCTGAACTTTAAACAAAGAAAAGACAGACCCACCTGCACAAGTTCCCTCTCATCAGCCCTGTGCTTGGTTATTTCCAGGTTAAGTGAAGCTCAGCTACCCTCACATTTGAGGGTTTGCTTGCCTGTAAAAGCACACCCCAATGGGGAACATGATGGTTTTCAGATTCCATCATGTTCCGTCTCAGCATTTATCTTGCTAGCTGAAGCTGTAGTTCAATTGTGTTCTCTAAAACAGTTGGGATATTTTTATTTTTGACACTTTACCTCTCTTTAAGACCTTAAGAATCTATCTTGAAGTGTGGTGGGCAAAATGTCAGACAGTATGCCACGGATAGCCATACCAGGGTTTGGTTGATCAGGGTAGGCATTCTCTCATTTCCAAAGTTCTTTCTGGTGATGTTCAACACGTGATTTATATCTGTGGCATAATCAGCATATTTGCAACACAAGCATGTGATCCCATTCCCTGATGATTGAATTGGTTTTATGTCCTAGAATATTCCAACACCTCTTATTGTTGGCTTTTACATGGTTCTTCGTTCATTTTGCACCCTCTCAGTGTAATCTCATCTTTACATCAAAGGATTAATTCCTTTTTCCCCGGAGTAACCTGTTCTACTTTTCTATTTACTGTAAGTCAGTTCTTCCTCCCAGTACCTTATCTTTGGGGCCTTTATAATTCATTTGCATGGCCGGGCACAGTGGTTCACACCTGTAATCCTAGCACTTTAGGAAGCCAAGGCGGGAGGATTGCTTGAGCCCAGGGGTTCGAGACAAGCCTGGGCAACATAAAGAGAACTCGTTTCTACAAAAAGTAAAACAATCAGCCAGACATGGTGGTACACACCTGTAGTTCCAGCTACCCAGGAGGCTGAAGCAGGAGAATCACTTGAGCCCAGGAGTTGAGGATGTGGCAAGCCATGATCATGCCCCTGCACTCCAGCCTGGACAGCAGAGCAAGATCTTGACTCAAAATAATAATAATAATGCATTTGTATTTTGATTGTTCCTTCTCAGAAATTTAGGAACCATGGTGGATGTTTTGTTGTTGTTGTTTTGGTCTTGTTTTAGGTTTTCTCCTCTCCCGCCAGGATATTGGTCTTAGAGAGAGGGTTACAAGACAGTACCCCCTCTCTCCATCCACATGACTAAGCCACAGCCTTGGCTCCTTCACAGGTTTGAGAAAGAGCTTGCCCCGTGTGTCATGTGGTCCAAATCTAATCTGGTTTTTCTGCACATTTAAGGTTCTTGGGTTTTTCAGTTGGGGAGTTACAGTATCTCCAGGAGTAGTTTAGGTTTTCTGGATTGCTCATGTCAGTCCTGGGATTACTGGAATATGCCCCCTTGCATAACCCAGGATGTAGATGGGTGACCCAGTTTACATTCTGCCTTTCTGTTTCAGTTCTTGAAGTTCTCAAGAAGCATAGCTTGTATATTTCTGAGCACCCTTTATCACTAATTCCAGGTGGATTCTCATATTTTTTTTTTAGTTTTTAAGTACAATGATGCTCTTCAAGGCCCAGGAAATTTATAATTGTTCTTTTTGGTGGGAGATTAACCAAGGCAGTTTAGAAAGGGGTTGATTATGTTTATATCTGAATATTCTTTCTACGTTTTCCTCTCTAGGCATCTCTCCTCAGATGGAGGTCACATGTGTGCCCACTCCCACAAGCACAGTGTCCTCCATAGGTAACACAAATGGAGAAGAGGTGGGACCATCGGTCTACTTGGAAAGGCTAAAGATCCTGCGACAGCGCTGTGGTCTGGACAACACGAAGGTACTGCTCCTTCTGTGAGGGTCAGGCAGGTCGGTGTGGCTGGCCCACAGAGAGGTGGCTCAGCCTCGGTATTGGTTGTCATGGAGCTGCGTCATGACATTCCTGCCCTGGTCTCAGACAGCCTTTCTTCTCTCAACAGCAAGATGACCGGCCTCCCCTGACCTCTTTGCTCTCCAAACCCGCAGTTCCTACCGTGGCATCCTCCACAGATATGCTCCACAGCAAGCTCTCTCAGCTCCGGGAGTCCCGCGAGCAGCACCAGCACTCAGACTTGGATTCCAACCAGACTCACTCTTCAGGAACCATGACCACCTCCTCCTCTTCCACAGCTAACATCGATGACTTGAAAAAAAGACTGGAGAGAATAAAGAGCAGTCGCAAGTGAAGTGGCCCCTCCCTGGCCCCTGCAGCTTTAGTTGACGAAACTAGACATGCTGTCCTCACAGGGCCGCGTGGCCTCGGCCGCCCTAGTGTGCACCCACAGGTGTCCGTCATGCCGTGGAGCTGGGGGAGGAGTCGTGTGGCACAAGTCCTTGTACATACTCTGCTTCTCTCCGTCAGTACCCGCTGCTAGAAGACTGTGGGTTAGTTTAGTGCACAGACTTGTAAACAGCTGCCCTCCTCTGTGCGCAGACTAGTTTCCAGATCTTTTTCTTTTGTTTTTAATTGCTCATTTGTAAAATGGTCCTAATCTTTCCTAGCTGTTAACTACTAGAAACTCTTTCGTAGTTTTCCTTTCTGTTTGTGAGCTCTTCTCCCTGTCGCCCTGAAGGGTCAACATACTGAATGAATGCATGGCATGAGACGACTAATTTAAGAGTCTTTTATAAATAAAGTTTGCATTAACTATATACCTGTCTCCCAGGATGCTCTGTGAGAGGGAGTGCTGTGCGGCTCTTTCTGTCGCCTGTTCTGTACCGGCTGGGCCCTCAGCCAGTTAGAGAAGGCTCATGGCTGCCACGGAGCTGCCCTCTGCTGGGCTCAGGCTGCCTTTGACTCCTTTGAAACAGGAGAACCTGCCTTTCCTGCCTGCCACTTGCAGCTTCTGGAGAGAGAGATCCCTTCCTGCACTCTTGGGTTCTGGTTACAACTCCCCTCCTGTGCACATCTGCGTCTCCAAAGAGCCCTTGGGCATCCTCCCACTTGGCTGCCCAATGCACATGAGGCTGCCCCTAGGACTGGCTGTACTGCAGTGCTTCTCACTACAGACTAGACTTGGGCTTCCTTGACTGACGGAGTTGGGAGAGCTTGTGGTTTCCTGCTTGCTTATCTGAATCTCTTTTGATCCAGGCTGACTGACTGAGGACCAGAAAGTGAACTGAGCATTCACTCCCGAAATAAGTTCCACAGGGCCTCCCTCCGTAGTCAGAACTCTTCAGGATGAAGAGGTTCTGGATTCAGGGAGAGACTTTTTGGGTGACTGTAAAGCTCAAAGGCACTTGTCTGTTGTAGCGCTCCTCCTACTCAGTGTTCAAGAAATGAAAGACTCATGGGAATGAATCCTCTCTTGGCTCCAGTCATCATTTTCAGATGGCCTATGCCTCCCCAAAATGCAACTTACCTTCCTCCCTTATGACAGGATCATGGGAGTGGTGGGTACGTGTTCACTGAGAGGAGATGGAGGAATTCACTCTTGTAGGAGGACATAATCCAGGAAGAGTGGCTGCACTCCGCTCTGGAGTTAGCAAGCTAATTTGAGCAAGCCAAGTGCCCAGAGCATAGAACACTGACAGCTATACTCGAGGGTAAGAGTCTTGTGAGAAAGCGTGATTTAAAAAGCAGGCCTGGCCAGGCACAGTGATTTAAGTATGTAATCCCAGCACTTTGGGAGGCGGAGGCAAGAGGATTGCCTGAGCCCAGAGGTTTGAGACCAGCCTGGGCAAGATGGCGAGGCCTTATCTCTACAATAGATCACGAAAACAAACTAGGCGGGTGTGGTGGCACACTCCTGTGGTTCCAGCTACTTGGAAGGCTGAGGCGGAAAGATCCCATAGTTGGGCTGGTACAATGACTCATGCCTATAATCCCAGCACTTTGGGAGGTCAAGATGGGAGAATCGTGTGAGACCAGCCTGGGCAAAATAATGAGACCTTGTCTCTACAAAAACACAAAAAAATTAGCTGGGATTAAAAAATTAGCCAGGATCACAGGAGGTGAAGACTGTGGTGAACTGTGATCATGCTACTACACTCCATGCTCGAAAAAACACAATTGGCCCTCCATACTCATGGATTCAACCAACTGCAGATGGAAAATATTCAATGTGACAACTGTTTACATAGCCTTTGCATTGTATCAGGAATTATAAATAATCTAGAGATGCTGGTCAGGTTTAGTGGCTCAGCCTATAATCTCAGCATTTTAGGAGACCAAGGTGAGTGGATTATCTGAGTCAGCGAGTTCAAAACCAGCCCAGGCAATTTGATGAGAACTCGTCTCTACAATAAATAAAAAATTAGCCAGGCGTGGTTGTAGTGCCAGCTACTTGAAAGGCTGAGGCAGAAGAATTGCCAGAGCCCAGCATGTCGATGCTGGGGTAGCCATGAGCATGTCACTGCACTCCAGCCTGGACAATGGCGTGAGACTCCGACTCAAAAAAAAAAATAGAGATGCTTTAAGACATGTGGGAGGATGTGCATAGGTTGTATAAAAATACTTTGCAGCCAGGCGGGTTGGCTCATGCCTGTAATCCCAGCACTTTGGGAGGCGGAGGCAAGAGGATTGCCTGAGCCCAGTTCAAAACCAGCCTGGACAAACTGGCAAGACCAATTTTTATTTAATTTTTTAAAATTGGCCGGACTTGGTGGTCAACACCTGTAGTCCCCCTGCTCTGAAGACTGAGGCGGAAGATCGCTTGAGCACAGGAGGTCGAGCTGCAATGAGTCACGATCATGCCATTGCACTCCAGTCTGGGCAACAGTGAGACTCGAAAATCAATTAGGTCGGGCACGATGACTCATGCCTGTAAGCCCAGCACTTTAGGAGGCAAGAGGATCACCTGAGTCCAGGGGTTCGAGACCAGCCTGGACAACTTGGCAAAACCTCAGCTCTACAATAAATTTTTTTAAAAAATTAGCCGAGTGTGGTGGCACACACCTGTAGTCCCAGCTACTTGGAAGACTGAAGCAGAAGGATCATCTGAGTCCAGCAGGTTGAGGCTGCAGTGGCCGTTAGCATGCCACTGCACTCCAGCCTAGGCAACAGAGTGAGACTCTGACTCAAAAAAAAAATTAAGTTAAATGCTGAGCCCTTTAGGGGCATAGATCTGACATCATTTAATTTTTTTATTTTTATTTATTTTGAGTCACAGTCTCTGTCACCCAGGCTGGAGTGCGGTGGCACACACACGGCCACCACAGCCTTGACCTGCTGGGTTCAGGTGATCCTTCCGCCTCAACCTTCCAAGTAGCTAGAACCACAGGCACGCGCTACCACGCTCGGATAAGGTATTGTAGAGCCAAGGTCTTGCTAAGAGGCCCAGGCTGGTCTTGAAGCTGTGGGCTCGGACAATCCTCTCACCTCTGCCTCCCAAAGTGCTGGGATTACAGGCGTGAAACACCGTCAATCTGAATCATTCTGAGGAAAGATTTAGGGACTTAGGGAAGTCTAAGGTATTCTGCCTCTTCTCTAGTCCTAGATGAGTTCCTTGTAACCCTTCTAGCAGAGCAAGGAAACCACTGGCCTCACTCGGTATCTTCCGCCTCAAGTCCTACTTTGACCTTTCTTAGCTGTGTGACCTTGGGCAAGGTACTTCCCCAAATCTCAGTTTACTCACCCACCTCTTGTGAGGATTAAATGAGATCCTCCATTAAAGCCCAAAGTGTGGAACATTAAATGCCATCTCCCCTCTCACCTGGCCCTGCTCTGAAGGAGGAATATTCTTTTTTTTTTTTTTGGTTTTTCAGGGAGTGGGGGGTGAGTTGTAGAGATAAAATCTTGCTATGTTGCCCAGGCTGGTCTTAAACTCCTGGCCTCAAGCAATGCTCCTGCCTCGACCTCCCAAAATGCTGGGATGACAAGGATGAGCCACCATGCCCGACTTGAAGGATCCTTAAATCCTTTTTATCCAACAGTATTACTCCTCTTCCTGAGCCCGGTCCTGAGAGCTGCCCACAAATAGCACTGGGAACGCTGAGGCTTGTTGACAAAGTCACTTTTATTGGGAACTATAGTTTTAGAAACAAACCACAAAAATATTTCTTTCACTCATTGGGTCCTGTGATTCTGCAGCAAGGAGCCTGGAATGCGGGTGGCCTTCTAACCGCCGAACCGATCAATGACCTTCTGTATCCACTTCTTCAGGCGGAACACATGTGTATAGAAGCCATATTTCCCATCCCGGTCACAGCCTTCTCCCCATGAGACAATGCCCATTTGATACCAGCGGTTGTTAAAGGGGCTCTGAGGGAGAAAGATGTCCAAGGTCACATCAGTGTCGCCCTGCCAGGCGACTGATCGTGAAAACTAGCGTTCCTCCTCACCCAACTCTCCCCACCCCAGGAAGGTCCACCCACCAGGCCGTGGCCCCTTCGAGAAGTGTACCTTCATGACAAAGGGTCCCCCACTGTCACCTTCACAGGCATCCCCTCGTCTGTCTTCACTAGGCTTGAAACCTGGAGAGAGACCAGCAGGGCTCAGGAGCAGAGCTCATGGTGCAGCCCCTCCCCTTCAAGAGACGTAACCAGCGAGTGCCCACTCGACCCTTCTGGTGAGCCTCCCTGGCCTCTTTATTTCCGCACCTCACATGTCCTATCCTTTAGCAAATGTCGGCTCTCCCTTCAACACAGATCTCAAATCTAACCACTTCTCACCACTTCAAGCCCTGGCCGGTGACACAAACACCTCCTCTGAATTCGCTTCTCTAATTCTACTGTGCCCACCTACAATCCATTCTCTACCCAGCAGTCAGGATAATGCTTTTAAGAAGTTAAACAAGGCCCAGTGTGGTGGCTCACTTCTGTAAACCCAGCACTTTGGGAGGCCAAGGTGGAAGGATCGCTTGAGCCAGGAGTTTGAGACCAGCCTGGGCAATATAGCAAAAATATCAAAAAATTAACTGGGCATGGTGGCGGGTGCCTGTAGTTCTAGCTCCTCAGGAGGCTGAGGTGGAAGGATCACCTGAGCCCAGGAGGTCAAGACTATGGTGAGAAAAAAAATTAAATTAGCCCTCCAGGTCAGCTAAGGATAATACTAGTTGCCTTTGTCCAGGTCATCCCAGCAAGACCTACGAAAAAACCACACGTTCAACATACTAGGGTCCAGAGATACCAAACTTCAAACGAATGTAGTCTATTTCATTGTAGATCGAATACTAAAACTTATATAGGGAAGAGGATGGAGAAATAGACATTTCATTTAATACCTACTAGATAGAAGGAGTGGGTACAATCACATTAGGAATCTTGTAAATAACCCCAAAGTTACCAAAGGAATAGATGAAAACTCAATAGATTCATACAAAGATGCTATGGGAACACAGAAAACAAGAATAAAGAGACCTCAACTACTAAAATTCTTCCACCAAATAAAACCACCAAAAGGGAAGAAGACTGGAACTGAATTAAATATCCCCAAGCAACCTTGTAGATATGAAAAAAACATCTCCAGTCAGAAATTCAAAAATTAAAAATAAATGGACATATCACCCCTCAGCTGATGCGAGGTCAAGGTGAAAGGACTGCCTGAGCCCAGGGGTTCAAGACCGGCCTAGGCAACTTGGTGAGACCTCGTCTCTATAATAAATCAGGAAAAATTAGCCAGGCTTGGTGGAGCATTACCTTAGTTCCAGCTACTTGGAAGGCTGACATGGAAGGATTGCCTGAGCCCAGCAGGTCAAGGCTGTGGTGGCCATGAGCGTGCCACTACACTCCAGCCTAGGCAACAAAGTGAGACTCCAACTCAAAAAAAAAGATCAAATGAACTTAAAATAAATAAAGACATAAGTGACCTAAATAGGAAGTAATACAGGGCTGGACACAGTGGCTCACGCCTATAATCCCAGCGCTTTGGGAGGCCAAGGTGAAAGGATTGCCTGAGCCCAGGGTTTCAAGACCAGCCTGGGCAACTTGGTAAGACGTCATCTCTACAATAAATCAAGAAAAAATATGCAGGATGTGGTGTCACACACCTGTAGTTTCCAGCTACTTGGAAGGCTGAGATGGAAGGATCGCCTGACTTCAGCAGATTGAGGCTGCAGTGGCCATGAGTGTGCCACTGCACTCCAGCCTGGGCAACAGAGTGAGATTCTGACTCAAAAATAAATAAATAAAATAAGGTGCCAAGGAAAAAGATCATAAGAGAATATATTGTAGCACCCCAAAAAATAGGCATTTCTTACCCCTGGAGAGAAAGATTCACATCAAAAATATATGTTTTCCCAGTTAATTTTAAAATATATCATAATCCCAATAAAAATACCACCAAACTTCTTTATAGAGACAGACATGTTGATATTGAAATTCATACGGAAAAACAAACATGCAAGAATTGCCAAGAGAAGATTGGAAACAGAAAAACTAAGAGAATATGGCTCCACCAGAAATGTATCCTAAAGCCTCTATCATTAAAACAATGAGGTGCTGTAGGCTGGGTGCAGTGTCTCATACCTAAAATCCCAGCACTTTGCTAGGTGAGATGATAGCCTGAGCCCACAGGTTCGAGACCACCATGGGTAACTTGGTGGGATCGTATCTCTACAATAAATCAAAAAATTAGCCAGGCTTGGTGGCGTGTGCCTGTAGACTGAGGCAGAAGGACGCTGGAGCCCAGATCGATGCTGGGGTGGCCGTGAATGTGCCACTACACTCCAGCCAGGGCGACGGAGTGAGACTCCAACTCAACGTGGACAACAACGTGGGCAAAAAAACATGAAGAGACAACTCAAAAAATTATACAAATACTGTACTTAATCACAGGAAAAGATGTTCAACCTCATTTTCTTCCCCTCCAACCTCATCTTCCATGAGAACAGTGCCATTTAAAACTATATTGAGATACCGCACTGGGCACAGTGGCTCACGTCTGTAATCCCAGCACTTTGGGAGGCTGATGCAAGGGGATCACTTGAGCCCAGGAGCTGGAGGCTGCAGTGAGTTGTGATCGTGCCCCTGCACTCCAGCCTGGGTGACAGGGTGAGAGTGAGACTCTTACTCAATAAAAATAAATAGGCCATTGCTTTGCTAAACCCTGGTCTGGCCACGTGGCTCTTTGAACTATGGTCCCCATGTTTCCTAGCTTTGGTCCCTAACTCTCTCTACCTTGGAGAGGTGAATCTACTCTCTATTCTCTATTCTCTCTCTCTGTCTCTCTCGAATTTACTTACTTTTGAGTCAGAGTCTCACTCTGTCACCCTGGCTGGAGTACAGTAGCACACTCATGGCCACCCCAGCGTCAACCTGCAAGGCTCAGGCCATCCTTCCAAGTAACTGGAAGTCCAGACATGCACCACCACACCTAGCTAACTTTTTTTGACTTATTGTAGAAATGAGGTCTCGCCAAATTGCCCAGGCTGGTCTCGAACCTGTGGGCTCAGGCAATCTTCTCACCTTGGCCTCCCAAAGTGCTGGGATTATAGGCATGAGCGCACAGCCTAATTTAATTTCTTTCTTTCTTTCCTTTTTTTTTTTTTTTTTTTTGAGTTGGAGTCTCACTGTCGCCCAGACTGGAGTGCAGTGGCCACTCCCAGCCACCGCAGCCTCACCTGCTGGGCTCCGGTGATCCTTCCGCCTCAGCCTTCCGAGTAGCCGGAACTACAGGCGCGCACTACCACGCCTGGCTGATTTTTTGATTTATTGTAGAGATGAGGTCTCACCTGCCCAGGCGGGTCTCGAACCCGCGGGTTCAGGCAATCCACTCACCTCAGCCTCCCAAAGGCGCGGGATTACAGGCTGAGCCGCCGAGCCCGGCCCTAATTTAATTTCTAAATAAACTATATTTTCCAATCAAATAACTAAGTAAATAAATAAAACTACATTGAGATACTATTTCTCACCCCTCAGATTGATTCTGCAGGCATGGCTGTAGGGAAACAAACATTTCTATACATTGCAGATGAAAACACATATTCATACAACCCTTATGGAAAGACATTTGTAAATATCTAACAAAATTGCATATGTGTTTGCCTGTTGACCTGGCAACACCACTTTTAGAAATTAACTGCGACCAGGGGTGGTGGCTCACGCCAATAATCCCAGCACTTTGGGAGGCCGAGGTGAGAGGGCTGCCTGAGCCCACAAGTTTGAGACCAGTCTGGGCAACTTGGCAAGACCTTGTCTCTACAATAAGTCAAAAAATGAGCCAGGCATGGTGACACATGCCTGTGGGTCCAGCTACCTGGAAGGCTGAGGCTGAAGGATCGCCTGAGCCCAGCAGGTGAACTGTGGTGGCCATGAGCGTGCCACTGCGCTCCACCCTGGGCAACAGAGTGAGACTTCAACTCAAAAAAAAAAGAAAGAAAGAAATTGACTGGAAGATACACTTTCAACAATACAAAACTATATATTCACTGCAGCATTGTTTGTAATTGGAAAATATCAGAAAGAATCTAAATACCTATACATGGAAAATGACTGAACATACTATGGTTATGCCCACATAATGGAGTATGATTTGGCTATAAATTTTTTTGAAATGAATAAGGAACGCTCTGTGTACATGAAGTGGATTTACAAAATACATTAAGTGAGAAAAGCAAAGTACAAAAGAATATCCTGGGTTAGAAAAGAAGGGCTGGGTGCAGTGGCTTATGCCTGTAATCCCAGAACTTTGGGAGACCAAGATGGGAGGATAACTTTAGCCCAGGAGTTTGAGGCCAACCTGGGCAACATAGCAAAAACTCATCTGTATAAAAAAAAAAATTAAAAACTTAGCCGGGTGCGGTGGCATACACCTGTAGTCCCAGCTACCTGGGAGACTGAGGCGTGAGGGTTGCCTGAGCCCACTCCAGACTGGGTGACAGAGAGATCCTAACTCAAAAAAATAAACTCATAAAAATAAGAAAAGGATGCAACAAAACATACATGTGTCTGCTTATTTGTGCAGAAAGAAATACAGGAAGAAGAAACCACAAACAAATGAGATTTGTTAGTCCCAGGACATGGATGGAAATTGGGTGGAGAAGAGGTGTACAGGACAGAGAAAAGGGAGAGTATCACTTATTTGAGTGTACCTGTTTGAACAGGGGTGACTTTTAGAACCTCATTAATGCTTCATATACTCCAAAAAATATACAAATACAGCATAGTTGGGAGAGGGATAAAACTGAAAACAGTCAGAAGCAAATGAGCCTAATGGTATTTTAAATAAACAGCATAAGGATGGGTGAGAGGCCGGGTACAGTGGCTCAGGCCTGTAATCTCAGCACTTTGGGAGGCCGAGGTGAGAAGATTGCCTGAGCCCACGGGTTCAAGACCCACCTGGGCAACTTGGTGAGACCTCATCTCTACAATAAAATAAAAAATTAGCCAGGCGTGGTAGTGCACGCCTATAGTTCCAGCTACTTGGAAGACTGAGGCAGAAGGATTGCCGGAACTCAGCAGGTCAAGGCTGCGATGGCCAGGAGCTTGCCACTGCACTCCAGTCTGGGTGATAGAGTGAGACTGCAACTCAAAAAAAAAAAAGATGAATGAAAAAGAATTAACCCAAGTAAGTAACCTTTGAGCACATTAGTATATTTTGACTGTATACTATCAGACTAAAGACAAAAACAACCACAAAGCAATGCCAGACAAAAAATTCTGAAACTATGTGTTCTAGTGTTTATCAAATAAGTGCATGCATTATGGGTCAGGGGAGTCAGATTTCTCACTGTCAACAGAGAGTTACAAATAAAAGGGAAAGGTTAAAATTAGCCCTGTGGTATTGGATTAGAAATGGGGGTTTCAATATGGAACTCATGGTTTTTGAGATCAGAGAAAACTAGCCAGGCATGTTAGAGGGCTGAGGTGGAAGAATTGCCTGAGCCTAGGAGATTGAGGCTGCAGTAAGCCATGAGTGTGCCACTGTACTCCAGCCTGGGCATCAGAGTGAGAACTTGGCTCAAAAAAAAAAGAGAGACAGAGATGAGAGAGAGACAGAGAGAGATTGCCACATGTGTAAAGCATATATTTTCGAATTCTGTTCTCTGAGGGAGGGCCTAGAAGCAATGACATCCCTCTAGCAATGTGCACACCTAACACACAGATCTTGGTTTCTAAATACCATCTTCCACTAAAATGGTTCCTTGGAGAAATGTCTAATTCTAATACTGCTGTAAGAAAAACAGGATCAGGCTAGCTGGGTGCAGTGGCTCATGCTTGTAATCCCAACACTTTGGGAGGCAGAGGCGAGAGGATTGCTTGAGCTCAGGGGTTCAAGACCAGCCTGAGCAACATGGCAAGACCTCATCTCTACACTAAAATTAGCCAAGCATGGTGGCACATGCCTGTAGTTCCAGCTACTTGGAAAGGAAAGTTGAGGTGGAAGGATCTTCTAAGCCCAGGAGGTCAAGGCTGTGGTGGCTGTGAGCATGCCACTGCACTCCAGCCTGGGTGACAGAGACTCTAACTCCAAAAATAAAATAAAATAAGGTGAACCTGAAACATCTTCTTTCAGAAAATAAGAAAGTACTCAAGGAATGACAGGGACCTCTCCACAAGCCACAGAAGCTAGCTTGAATGGGTTCCCACTGACCAACCCTGGGATAATTTGAGCATCAATATAAATAATGATAGTGGGCCAGGCTCAGTGGCTCACCTGTAATCCCAGCACTTTGGGTGGCCGAGGTGAGTGAATTGCCTGAGCCCTCCAGTTCCAGACTCACCTGGGCAACTTGGTAAGACCTTGTCTCCACAATAAATCAAAAATTAGCTGGGCATGGTAGCATGTGCCTGTAGTTCCAGCTACTTGGAAAGCTGAGGCGGAAGGATCACCGGAGCCCAGCAGGTCGAGGCTGCAGTGACTGGGAGCATGCCACTGTACTTCAGTCTGGGCGACAGAGTGAGACTCCAACTTAATAATAATAATGATGATGATGCTGATGATGATGATAGTGACAAATTGTAACCCTTAGAATAAAGTAAGGACCCTTGAGTTCACACAGATAGAAAGAAAGGAAAGCTCTTCCACACAACAAGATAATTCACATATGTAGAAGGAATGAAAATTATCACTTAGCAGGCACCATAGTCGGGAGGAGCTTATTTGTTTGTTGTTTTTTGAGACAGGGTCTCACTCTGTCTCCCAGGCTGGAGTGCAGTGGCGTGACCCTGGCTTACCACAACCTCAACCTCCTGGGTTCAATTTTTGATCCTTCCACCTCAGTCTCCCAAGTTGCCGGAACTACAGGTGTGCACCATCATGCCCAGAATTTTTTTGTTGTTGTTTTTTGTATTTTTTGTAGAGATGAGGTCTCACTATGTTACCCAGGCTGGTTTCAAACTCCTGGGCTCAAGCGATTCCGGAGAAGGTTTTGATGAGAAACAGGATACAAAATATCAAAGTATCTCCCTACAAGATATTTATTCATTACAAGTGAGAAAAAAACAGAACTTCATAGCAAGAAACTTGGCGGATATCACCTTAATCAAGAGATCAGAGTTAGTCTCAATAAACTGATATCTGTGCCCGTCAATAGAATGACCAAGAAGGACACAACATCACTTAGACTGGATCTGATCATGAGGAAACCTTTGACAAACCCACACTGAGGACCAATGTGCAGAATAGCTGGGCTGGGCCCATCAAGTATGTCAAGGTCATGGAAGACAAAGAAAGACTGGCGACTGAGTATGACATGTGATTCTAAATTTGATCCTGGATGAGGAAAACACTTTTCTTTTTTTTGCATGAAAGAGATTAGTAGGACAGATGGGGAAAATCTGAATAAGATCGACAGATTAGACAATAGTGTTGTATCAATATTAAAGTCCTGGTTTTAACCATTACACTGTGGTTATATAAGAGAACAGTCTCAGCCGGGCTCGGTGGCTCAGCTTATAATCCCGCGCCTTGGAAGGCTGAGGTGAGTGAATTGCCTGAGCCCGCGGGCTCAAGACCCGCCCGGGCAACTTGGCGAGACCTCATCTCTACAATAAAAATCAAAAATCAGCCGGGCATGGTTGTGCGCGCCTGTAGCTCCAGCTACTTGGAAGGCTGAGGCGGAAGGATCGACAGAGCCCAGCAGGTCGAGGCCACGGTGGCCGGAGCGGCCACTGCACTCCAGTCTGGGCGACAGAGTGAGACTCCCACTCAAAAAAAAAGAACATTCTCATCTTTTTGGAAGTTCTCAAGTATTCATGAGTAAAAAGGAAACATATGTGCAACTTGCTCTCAACACTGTACACACACACACACGAGGAAGGGGGGCTCACCTAGATGACAGTACACAGGAAATCGCTGTATTATTTTTGCAACTTCTCATGAGTCTGAAATTACACTATATTTTTTAGAAACCGAAGTCAGATCATGTATTACCTGCCTCAACCCCTATAATAACCTTCCATCTCACTCAATAAAAGCCAGTCAGGCTGGGTGCAGTGGCTCATGCCTATAATCCCAGCACTTTGGGATGCCGAGGTGGGAGGATTGCTTGAACTCAGGAGTTTGAGACCAGCCTGAGCAACATAGCCAGACCTCATCTCTACAAAAAAGTTTAAAAATTAGCCAAGTGTGGTGGTGTGCACCTGTAGTCCCAGCTACTCGTGAGGCTGAGGTAGAAGGATTGCCTGAGCCCAGGAGGTTGAGGCTGTGGTGAGCTATGACAATGCCACTGCACTCCAGCATGGGCAACAGAGTAAGATACTGACTCAAAAAAAAAAAGAAATAAAGAAAGAAAGAAAAAGAAAAAGGAAAAAAAACCAAAGTCCTTCAAGACCCTAAGGGAAGTGCCTATCTCCTGCCTGGCCCCCTCCACCCTCATCCACTGCTGCCTTTCCTGTGTTTACTCAGTTCTGGCCCACAGGCCTCCCTGCTGCTCCTCAGACAAATCAAGCATGCTCCTGCCCCAGGGCCTTTGTACCTGCTGTCCCCTCAGCCAGCAGTACTTCCCCAGACATGCCTGGCTCATTCCTTCCTTCACATCTTCCAGTCTCTGCTCAAAGACCTTCTCAGAGAGGGCTTCTCCAACTTTCTCCAGCCCCCAGATCACCCCTGTCCTTCTCAATCTCTCCCTCACCCTGAGTCATTTTTCTTCAGAGCATGTATCAGGGACTGATACCCTAGATCTATTTACTGATGCCCCCTCCATCTAGGAAGGGAGCAGAGGTCATAGGTATTGTCTGGGTCCTCGTTATATATCCTAGAATGCCATCCAGAACATGGTAGGCTTAGTCAGTATTTGCTGATGGGAGGCCGAGGTGAGAGGATTGCCTGAGCCGACAGGTTCGAAACCAGCCTGGGCAACTTGGCGAGACCTCATCTCTACAATAAATCAAAAAATTATCCGGGCGTGGTGGCCGCATCTATACCTGTTACTTGGAAGGCTGAGGTGGGAGGATCACCTGAGCCCAGCAGGTCGAGGCTGTGGTGGCCGCAAGCGTGCCACTGCGCTCCAGCTTGGGTGACAGAGTGAGGCTCCAACTCAAAAACAAAAATGTGCTGAACAACTGAATGAATGAATGAATGGCACTTCCTCACCCACAGACTCTTGCTACTATCTGAACTCATACACGGCACACCTCACTGGAAACTGGCACCAGGCCGATGCGTGATAAACACTATCTCATTTAACCCTCATGTGACCAGATGGGATAGAGACTTTGATCTCCATTTTCCACAGAGGAAGAAATGGAGCCACCAAGCCCGTCTCAGTCCTCCCGCCCCACGTGCCCACTGTTCCCTGGGCCCGCCAGGCACAGACTTGCCAGCACAGAACATGTTGTCGGTGATGCGGATCCGGGTGGAGGCCTTGCAGACCGACCGCTCCACGATGGGCAGGTTCACCACCTGCAGGACGCTGGGCAGCACCTCGCTGACGCTTGAGGTCCACGTGTCCTTCAGATTGCCCCAGCCCGTCACCCGCCCTTTGTGTCCAGACTGGAGCAAGCTTTGGGGAAGGGAGAAGGACTCGGTGAGAGTGGACCCTGGCAGGAGCCTCCCGGCCTCCACACCATTTAGAGACCGGCGTCTGAAATGCCAGCACTGGAAAGGACTGGTGGGTTCACTCCAGGAAACTGAGACCTTGACGGGCACAGTGGCTCACGCCTGCAATCCCAGCAGTTTGGGGGGCAGAGGTGAGAGGATTGCCTGAATCCTGGGATTTGAGACCAGCCTGGGCAACTTGGCGAGACCTCATCTCTACAATAAGTAAATAAAAATTAGCTGGGCGTGGAGGCGCACGCCTGTAGTCCCAGCTATTTGGAAGGTTGAGGAGGAAGGATCACCTGAGCCCTGGAGGTCAATAAGTATATTTACCATAATAAGTAAAAAAAAAAAATGAGCCAGGCATAGTGGTATGCACCTGTGGCTCCAACTACTTGGAAGGCTGAGGCAGAAGGATCGCTGGAGTCCAGCAGATCAAGGCTGCGGCCATTGCACTCCAGCCTGGGTGACAGAGTGAGACTTCGACTCAAAAAAAAGAAAAGCGAGAAAGGACTGAGACCTGGACCAGGGGAACGGACGTCTGCAAGGCCACCCAATGCCGGAGCCAGGCCTAGAACTCAGTCTCTGCCCCTCAACTGATGGCCTTGTCTGTCTCACCAGGCCGCCATCCCACCTGGCTGCCGTCGCCCTGTCGGGCAGGCACACGGGGTGAATGTAGTTGCTGAAGGTAACGGCCTTCTTGAGCTTCAGCAGGGCGATGTCCCGGTCCAGATTCTCCCGCCAGTTGTATCTGGGGTGGATGTAAATCTTTTCCAACATGGAGATCTTTTCAATGTTTCTCTCGTACCTGTGCAAACCCCAACAGAGAAATGGAGAAGCTGTCAGTCCACCCTGAGGAAGGAAACTTCCTGATCTCAGGGTCTTGGAGTTAGGGCAGCCCACAGGCCACCTGTGAAGGGTCAGGGCTGGCTCCTGCCTTGGTGGCAGCTTCTTTCTGGGCCTGAAGCCCAGGCAGCCCAAGCAGACAGGGACGGGGAGGGGACAGGACGCATGCCGTGGTCCAAACAGACTGTTTTCAGAGATCCCCGCCTGGACCAGGTCCTGGTGTCTGGAGGGGAGAGGCACACAGACCAAGATTTCGTTCTCTTTCCAGATCCAAGCCAAAGGGACTGCTGGGGTGTCATATTGTGGGGGCTGCACAGATGTATCCCACGTGCTCCAGAGCCCCCGTGGTCACCCTCGGAGGACTGAGACCCCTGCCAGACATCCACGGGCCACAGGCTCCATACCTCGTGCGGGAGTGCTTGCCAATGCGCACCAGAAGGTCATTCTCGGTGAAGTTCTTGTCCCAGGGCGGGTACAGGAGGCAGTGGGCGGCGGTGAGGACCCAGCGGTCGCTGATGAGGCTGGCCCCGCACAGCAGTTCCTGGGGATTCTTCCTGAAAAGCATCACCTGCCTGGGGCACGGGGGGTGGGCAAGAGACATTAGAGCCGTGGGGGAAAAAGCCCGACAAGCAAAAAGTTTCAGGTCTAAGAGCTATCTGAAACCAAAGCAACCCAGCAAGACCCTATTTCTATAAAATATGAAAATAAAACATTAGCCAGGTGTGGTGGCACGGGTCTGTAGTCCCAGCGACTCTGGAGGCCGAGGTAGGAGGATCCCTGAGGCCAGGAAGTTCAGGTTGAAGCTGTAGTGAGCCATGATCAGGCCACTATCCTCCGCCTGACTCAAGAGGAAAAAAACCCAGCTAGACAGAGCTGCCTCCTGGGCCCAGAGGGCCTGACCACCTTTGGGAACAGGAACCTCTGACTGATGCGGAGGGGCCGCCCCTGCTTTTTGCACCCCTTCCCCAGCTTGTTCCAGTCCAGAGAGTTCACACGACACAGCACAGCTCTGGAGTCAGAAGGACTAGATTCGAGGACCGCCTGCAGCCCAGTACAGTGTGCTTGAGGCAGGTCACACAAGCTCTCCCAGCCTCTGCTTTCCCTCTGCTTAAGAGGAGTGAGGGGGCTGGGCTTGGTGGCTCAGCCTGTAATCCCAGCACTTTGGGGGGGCTGAGGAGAGTGGTTTGCCTGAGTTCGTGGGTTCGAGACCCACCTGGGCAAGTTGGCGAGACCTACAATAAATAAAAAATTAGCCGGGCGTGGTGGCACGCGCCTGTAATTCTGACTACTTGGAAGGCTGAGGCGGAAGGATCGCCGGAGCCCAGTAGGTCGAAGCTGCGGCGGTCGAGAGTGTGCTGTCTCTGTCTGTCACTGCTGTCTGGGCGACAGAGTGAGACTCCAGCTCAAAAAACAAAAACAAAACAAAACAGGAGTGATGGACCCATCCCACGCGGTTGCTGCGAGCAGGGAGGCCACGGATGCTCAGCTATTGTCATCTGTGGAGCCCGGGCCTGTGGGCAGAGCTGTCTTCTGAGGGCCGGGTGGAGGCCCGGCAGCGCGCCCACCCCTCGAGTGAGTGGCAGCGCAGGGCTCCGAGCCGCACCAAGGCGCGATGCCCATCTCCGCGTCCCAGCCCTCGACGATGCGCCCGGCAATGTAGGAATCCAGAAGCTCCTTCTCCGTTTTGTCCTCCGCCGAATTCTTCTCGAACAGAGGCCGCAGCCCACAGTCTGCAGAGCAAGCCAGGCTGTGAGCAGCCAGTCCCGGCCACCAGCCCCCCCGCCTCACGGCCCCCACAGACCCCGCTGCCTCACCTGCCTCCCCAGCACCGAAGGTCTTCGCATCGAAGAAGGTCTGGTACCCCGTGGTGGTGCTGCGCCCTTCAATGGCCCCATCCGGGTCCTCACCTAGCCCCTCTCCCGGTTCCTCGTCCACAGCATCGTCTGTGGGGACCCGGGCGCTGACCAGGACTGGGCTGAGCCATCCCTCAAGGCCCCCTGGATATCACCAATCCCCCTGCTGGCCTCGGAGGCCATTTGGTGCAGAGGCTCACAGGTTGTGCTTACCTGGATTACTAGCTAACTTAACCTCCCAGGGCTCAGTTTACTTATCTGTAAAACGGGCATAGAACCTTATCCCCGCCCCCCCTCCGCCCTGCCCCCCCGCTACTGTAAGGCTGTAATGCACACACTCAGCATGGTCAGCCTTAGACAAAAGAGATAACTGTTCTTGTTTTGTTTTGTTTTGTTTTTTGGGGTTGGAGTCTCACTCTGTCACCCAGACTGGAGTGCAGTGGCCACTCCTGGCCACCGCAGCCTCGACCTGCTGGGCTCCGGTGATCCTTCCGCCTCAGCCTTCCAAGTCACCGGAATTACAGGCATGTGCTACCACGCCCGGCTGATTTTTTTATTTTATTGTAGAGATGAGGTCTCACCTGCCCAGGCGGGTCTCGAACCTGCGGGCTCAGGCAATCCGCTCACCTCAGCCTCCCAAAGGCGCGGGATTACAGGCTGAGCCACCGAGCCCGACTTGTTCTTGTTTTTGACCCCAGGACGCGTCCTCTGTGTCTCAGGCCCCCTGCCCAGCCAGCTCACCGCAGTAGTTGAGGTCACAGTACTCAAAGTCACCAGGTTCCCCGGCCACGTAGCACCACGCGCCCTCTTCATCCCCATCCGGGTTCCGGCAGAAGTTCTCCACCAACTGCACGTCCGGGCTGAAGTCCTGGTCCTTGCTCAGGGACTTGGCCTTCATGCTGGACCAGGCCAGGCAGGGGGACCCCTGTGTGGTCACCGCCAGGCGCCCCTGGTACTGCCGGCCCCGCTCGGGGACACACTGCTCCACTGGAGGGGACAGATTCACCCCGGGATCTCTGGAGGGTGGAGTCATCTCCACGGTGACACGGTCCTGGCCTGGCGGGTGAAGAGGCAGGGACGTCGGGTGGGTGGGCCCACTCTCCGAGCCCGACAGACTAGGACTTGGATCCTGGTCTTTCTGCTTCTGCTTGTGTGATCTCAGGTGTAATTTACCACTTTGGACTTCAGCTTGCTTGCCTGCCTGCCCTCCTCTTTTTTTTAAGAGACAGAGTCTCCTTCTGCTGCCTAGGCTGAATAAGTAGCATGATCATGGCTCATCGTGGCCTCAAACGCCTGCACTCAAGCAATCCTCCCACCTCAGCCTCCCAAGTAGCTAGAACTTGAGGCATGCACTACCATGCCCGGCTAATATTTTGACTTTTTGTAGAGGTGGGGCCTTGCTATGTTGCCCAGGTTGGACTCTAACTCCTGGGCTCAAGAAAGCCTCCTGCCTTGCTTCCCAAAGTGCTGGGATTACGAGTGTGAGCCACTGCGCCCAGCTTGCCTGCCTTTAAAGGGGTTACTGATGCGATTCTTGCAGGCTTGTTGAGAGGATTAAAAAAATATACGGTGTAACTGTCTCTCATGTAATAAACCAGAGACAGTCACGTAATCTATTGGTAGATTGGTAGTGACTGTCTGGATTTTGTAAAGGATTCTGTGTTTTTATAGGGACACAGCAGAAAAGAGTGCTGGGATCACTAAAGATGTCCATCTGGGCAGTAGGTTAATTTCTGCACACCTGCAACTTATTTATCATTGGTGTGTATAAATGGAGCACAGAGGGGTCGGTGGGTAAAAGGTGCCTGTTTCTGTTACAATGATTGGTAACTTGCTATAAGACCGTTCCTGGCAGGGCTCGGTGACTCATGCCTATAATCCCTGCACTTTGGGAGGCAGAGGCGAGAGGATTGCCTGAGCTCAGGAGTTTGAGACCAGCCTGAGCAACATGGCAAGAACTCGTCTCTATAATAAGTCAAAAAAATTAGCCAGGCATAGCGGCATGCACCTGTGGCTCCAACTACTTGGAAGGCTGAGGCAGAAGGATTACTTGAGTCCAGCAGATCAAGGCTGCAGCGACCATGAGTGTGCCACTGCATTCCAGCTTGGGCAAAAGAGGAGACTCTGACTCAAAAAAAAAAAAAAATACAAACCTAAAAATTGAATTACCATTTGACACAGCAATCCCGCTACTAGAGATCTACCCAAAGGAAAATAAGTCAATATATGAAAAAGATATCTGTACTCACATGTTCATTGCAGCATTATTCACAATAACAAACTTATGGAACCAACCTAAATGCCCACCAATAATTGACTGAATAAAGAAAATATGGTATATATGCACAATGGAATACTAAACAGCCATTAAAAAAAAAAAAAGAATGAGGCCAGGTGCGGTGGCTCAAGCCTGTAATCCCAGTATTTTGGGAGGCCAAGGTGAGGGGATTGCCTGAGCCCACGGGTTCAAGAACAGCTTGGGCAACTTAGACCTCATCTTTACAGTAAATCAAAAAAATTAGCCAGGCATGGTAGCGTTCACCTGAAGTTCCAGCTACTTGGAAGGCTGAGGCAGAAGGATCGCCGGAGCCCAGCAGGTCGAGGCTGGGGTGGCTGTGAGCGTGCCACTGCACTCCAGCCTGGGCGACGGAGTGAGACCCCAACTCAAAAAAAAAAAAAAAAAAAAAAAAAGAATGAAATGTCCTCTGCAGCAACAGGGATGGAACTGGAGACAATCCCAAGTGAACTGACTCAGAAACAGAAACAGAAAATCAAACACTGCATGCTCTCATTCCTATGTAGGAGCTAAATGGTCACAAAGATGGAAATAATAGACACTGGGGCATCAATAAGGAGCGAGTTGGGAGCGGAGCAGGACGGAGTAGGGCTCAGAAATTACCTATGGGGTACAATGTGGTTCAACTACTTGGAAGGCTGAGGCTAAGGTGGAAGGATTGCCTTAGCCCAGCAGGTGGAGGCTGCAGTGTCTGTGAACGAGCCACTGTACTACAACCTGAGTGACAGAGTGAAACTCGACTCAAAAAACAAAAACAAAAGCAAAACAAAACAAAAAGACTGTTTCTAGATTTGGTGGATTCCTGGCACAAATTCTTTATTTATTTATTTGAGTCAGAGTCTCACTCTGTCGCCCAGGCTGGAGTGTAGCGGCATGCTCACAGCCACCACAGCCTCAACCTGCTGGACTCAGGCAATCCTTCTGTCTCAGCCTTCCAAGTAGCTGGAATCACAGATAGACACCACCAAACCCAGCTAATTTTTTTTTAATTGAAATCTCACTCTGTTGCCCAGGCTGGAGTGCGGTGGCACATTTACAGTCACTGCAGCCTCGACCTGCTGGGCTCAGGTGATCCTTCCACTTCAGCCTTCCAAGTAGCTGGAACTATAGGCACGAGCCACCACACCCAGCTAATTTTTTAATTTATTGTAGAGACGAGGTCTCTCCAAGTTGCCCAGGCTGGTCTTGAACCCCTGGTGTCAAGCAATCCTCTTGCCTCGGCCTCCCAAAGTTCTGGGATTACAGGCTTGAGCCACTGCACCCGGCCGCCGAGCTAATTTTTTTATTTATTGTAGAGACAAAGTCTCGCCAAGTTGCCCAGGCTGGTCTCGAACCGTGGGCTCAGGTGATCATCTTTTCTCTGCTTCCAAAGTACTGGGATTACAGATGTGAGCCACTGCACCCGGCCTGGTACAAATCCTTTAGCCCTGTCTGCATCCACACCTTTTACCCTGTGCTTTTACAGGCCAAGATGTATTTCACCTTTTGACTTTGAGCTTGAACGTGTACTTGCTCTGGCCAATGGAATGTGGGCAGGACTGAGCCTAGGCCTTAAGACAACAGGTGTGTTTCTGTTCTGTTCTTTGTCTTATGCTTCAACCTTCGCCACAAGAGCTTCCCCAGGTATGAGCTGTCTTTCAGTCTCACCCTCAACAGATCTGTGCCCAACCCACAGCGAGGAGCCAAGTTCAGCCGATTGCATCGTTTGAAACAGAGCCACCCAGCCAAGCCCAGCCAACGTCAGGGGACCCCAAAGACACAACAATGAGGTCAGTGAGATCAGCACCGCCACCCCTGCCAGCCTTCACAGAAGAAAGAAATATTTATTATGGCAAGCCTCAAAGATGTGATGGCGGTCTGCTTTGCAGCACTGTCAAGGCTATACCCCCCTAACACACCTTGGGAAGTCATAATGACAGAATTATGCAGGGCCAGACTGCATGAGATGTGCTCTGTGATGCTCAGAATAGGGCATGTGGGTCAGGCACAGTGGCTCACACCTGTAATCCCAGCACTTTGGGAGTCCGAGGCAGGAAATTTCTTGAGCCCGGGAATTTGAGACCAGCCTGGGCAACATAATGAGACCTCATCTCTGCAAAAAGTTAAAAAATTAGCTAGGCATGGTGATGGGTGCCTGTAGTCCCAGCTACTCAGGAGGCTGAGGCAGAAGGATCACCTGAGCCCAGGAGGTCAAGACTGCAGCCAGCTGTGATTGTGCCACTGCACTCCAGCCTGGGTGACAAAGCGGACCACCAACTCAAAAAAAAAAAATAGGGCATGTGGGCTGAAATGACCAGGTATGTCTTCCTGGAGGGAAGGGCGCCTTAAAGCAGGAAGGAAGCGCGTTTGCAATGAGCCATAGCCTGGATCACAAGGAAGTCAAGACTGGGGAGCGGGAGCGAGAGGCCGGCAACCAACTCCCCAGGTCCCCAAAGCACTGAGCAACAGGCGCAAATATGTTTGACGTGGCCAACGCCCGCTCTGAAGGTAACCAGGATCTTGTTCCCATCCCAGGCCCCGTGGATCCCCCGGGCCATGGCCATGGCCACCCCATCTCCCCCAGCTCACCGCAGACACGGATGCTGCATTCCTGTCTCCGCACGGTGGGGTCTGTGGTGTAGCACCAGGGTCCCGTGGTGCTGCCGTCTGGGTTGCGGCAGAAGTTCTCCTGCAGGTCGGCCCCAGGGTGGGTGGTGGAGTTGATTCTGGAATGGAAGTTGCCCGGAAGAAGGCTGTGCCTCCCAGGGTGGCATTGTTCCCTGTCCTCAGCCCCGGTGGGCAGGCCTGCCCGTCACTCACTCAGGCTTGTGTGGGTAGCGACTCCTCCAGAGCTGGCACTCGATGCCTGACCGGGTGATGTTCACCTGCCCTTGGTAGTTCATACCCAGACCCTCGGCACAGTTCCCTGCAGAGACCCCGCCCAGGTCAACCTTGGGTCCTGAGGATCCGTCCCCCTCTCCTAGCAAAGCTCTGTCTGTCCACCTTCCCCAAGCTTGCTCTGGCCCACGATCCTCGACCCACATTTACTCAGCACCCAACAGCTCGCCTAGCCACTTAACAGCAGTCACCAAATAGTCCCTGAGTGCCCACCATGTGACAACCACATGTCAGGCACTGTGCCAGGTATAAGGACATATCAATGAGTAGGACAGTCACAGCCCTGCTCTCATGCAGGCTCTGTTCTGTGGATCCTCATGGCAGCAGAAGAAAAAGTGAACGTAGTCCTTTTCATCTGGCCCTGGTCTACCTGTCCCTGGTCTACCCGTCCCTTAGCTTAGCTCCTCATGCCCCAGGGCCTTTGCACATGCTGTTTCTTCTGCCTGGAATGCTCTCCATGTTCATCAGTTCATCCCACAAGAACAGGAAGAGCTCTCTTCTGGGAAATCATCTCTGATTCTACTGACAAACATGATTGTTCCTTCTCTTGTGCTCTCTTGGTGCCTTCAACAGAGCTTTTCTAGCAATCACTCTAATGTTTTAGATTTGTGTTTCCCTGAAATTAGATTAGATTTAGATTGTGAGTTCTGTGAAGGACTGTATTTGATTCTCTTAAAATTTCCATCACCAGCCAGGGGCAGTGGCTCATGCCTGTAATGCCAACATTCTGGGAGACTGAGGTGGAAGGATTGCTGGAACCCAGGAGTTCAAGACCAGCATGGGCAACATAGCCAGGCACCATGGCTCACACCTGTAATCCCAGCATGTTGGGAAGCTGAGGTGGGAGGATCACTTGAGCCCAGGAATTCTGTGTGTTGTTTTTTTTTTTTTTGAGTTGGAGTCTCCCTCTGTTGCCCAGGCTGGAGTACAGTGGCCTGCTCACTGCTACCACAGCCTCAACCTGCTGGGCTCAGGTGATCCCTCCACCTCTGCCTTCCAAGTAGCTGAAACTGGGCTCAAGCCATGATGCCGGCTAATTTTCTGATTTATTATAGAGACGAGGTCTTGCCAAGTTGCCCAGGCTGGTTTCAAACCCATGGGCTCAGGCAATCCTCTCGCCTCTGCCTCCCAAAGTGCTGGGATGACAGGCGTGAGTCACTGCTTGGCCAAGTCCAGGAGGAGATAGAGGCTGAGGAGGAAGGTTCACGCCACAGCACTCCAGCCTGGGTGACAGAGTGAGACTCCGGTTCGAAAAATAAAAGCAAAACCCTAGCCCCTGATGCAGTCCCTGGCACATGGCAGGAACTTAGTAAAATGTCGATTAAGTTATTTAACAAGTAAAAGTATGGCCAGTGAGTAGATAGTTGTGTAGCAAGTCTATTGTCCTTTTAAATGTGCATTCAGAGGCTGTGAAGGAGGGAGGAGATTCCCCGAAGGCTCACAAGTGTGGCGGCATTTGAGCCAGTCCCTGAAGGAAAGGGAAGTGTTCAGCTGGTGGTGACAGTCGCTCCAGAGGAAGGTGACAATGTGAGCCAGCCCAGGAGGTAGAAACACCATGGCATGTTTTGAGAAGTCCTTGCTGACAGAGTGGCTGGGGGTTGGGTTCACATTTGCTGCAATGGGGGGTAAGGCTAAGAAGCCTGGGTTCTAGCCAGGTGTGCCTGTAATCCCAGCACTTTGAGAGGTGAAGATGAGAGGATTGCCTGAGTCCAAGGGTTTGAGACCAGCCTGGGCAACTTGGCAAGACCTCATCTCTACAATAAATCAAGAAAAATTAGCCGAGCTTGGTAGTGCGCACCTGTAGTTCTGGCTACTTGGAAGGCTGAGGTGGAAAGATCACCTGAGCCCTCCTCCGACTCAGAAAAAAAAAAGAAGCCTGGGCTTTATTCTGTGGGTGCTGGGGAGCCACTAAAGATTTTGGAGAATGAATGTGACATCATCAGAGCCCTGTCTAGGATGGGCAGAGAATCAGGCCAGGCAAATGAGTCAATGAGGTCCTGAATATTAATTCATGATCAGCTGGGCATGTTGGCTCATGTCTGTAATCCCAGCACTTTGGGAGGCCAAGGCAGGAGGATTACTTGGACCCAGGAGTTTGAGACCTGCCTGGACAACACAGCGAGACTTTGCTTCTACAAAAAAATTTTAAAACTTAGCTGGGCATGGTGGCATGCGCCTGTAGTCCCAGCTACTCAGGAGCCTGAGGTGGAAGCATCACCTGAGTCCAGGAGTTCGAAGCTGCAGTGAACCTTGATTATGCCATTGCACTCCAGCCTGGGCAACAGAGTGAGGCCCAAACTCATGCATTTGTTCCTCCAACATGAATCTTCTTACTGACTGCCAGTCTCAGAGCCAGGTGCAGAGACACATCCTGACCACAGGAATAGGAAGGGAACTCCCAATGCCAGAGACGACCTCCGCTGGGCCACGCTCTGAACCCATCCCTGCGCTCCCCTTCCCCCAGGTTTCCCCCGTGACCTGCCCCCCACCCTCCACATCAGCTGCTCACCTTCCAGACATGCAACGAGCTTTTCTCGAGGTTTCCTCACCGACTCACAAGCTGGAAAAAGACCCAGAAACACTTTTGGGATTGGGGTAGTGACAGGATGGGCTGGAGCCACGGGTGGGTGGGATGACACTGAGGATGGAGAGACGGACAGACGGACGGGAGGAAAGGAGGGAAGAAGACATGGGTGATGGGGTGCACCGGAAGATTCTCTGAGGAAGAACATTCTCCAGAGGGTCCCCAGACCTCCCCTCCAGGGCAAACCCTTCCCGGGCTCACCTGTGTACTTGGCCCAAAACACGTCCTGAAAAACAAGGCTGGGGATGAGAGTGAGGCGGGACCCTGTTCTGTTTTAGCAAACGCTATGTCTTCTCATGCTTTCTTTACCCTGGCCACACAGGGGCAGGCTCTGGGGAGGTCTGTGACCGTTTTCTACCTTTGTTTCCAAAAGGAGAATATTTGAGGACAGGGGGTCCTCCCAACACGCACACCAAGACTGGAGGGAATTTCCCCCCCAGCTGGGGGACAGGAAAGAAGAAAGGGGTGTGCGCCCTAACAGAACCCCAAGGAAGGGGAGGCTGCAGAGACCCAGGGATTCTGAGTCCTGGGTTCCTGGCCTCCCCAGGGCCCCGCCCCCCGAGGGTGACAGAAGCAGCAGAAAGGCTGGAGCCCAGGAGGCTGTGTAGACTTGGACTGGAGGTACCAGAGAGCCCCAGTGTAGACAGACGTCTGAAGACCGAGTGGGTCTCCTGATGTCACGGAGACGCACCAGACCCTGGAGCCTCGACACAGCCCAGGGGTGGAAACCCCCAAGAAAGGCCGGAGCTGCCCATCTTGCCAGTGTAGTGGGGCTGAGGGTTGGCATGAGGCACCGACAGCAGGGGAGCTGGGCGTTCCCCGAGGCGCTCTGAGGGGCCCCAGCTGCCCTCCGAGCACCCCGGGGCTCACCATGGCTTGGGGCGACTCCAGGGCCTCGAAGGCCTCCTCGTAGCTGCACTGCTCCTCCACGCACTCCCGCTCCAGGTTGCCCTCACGCAGCTCCTCCAGGAAGCCGCTGTTGGCCCGGCGGACCCTCTGGAGCAGCGACAGTGCTTGCTGGGGGGCCAGGAACACTGCATGGGGAGGGTCAGGAGACGGTGGCTTCAGGAACAGGCTGTCTTGGCCATTGTGGGGGCAGGAAGCAAACCTGCCCTGCCCTGCTGGCTTCTCAACAGTGGGTGTCTGGGATGGCAGAAGTATCCAGAAGGCTGCTAAATGAAGCCACCAGCGCCCATCCTTTCACCGGCTGTCCCATCCCACTCCTCTTATTGGAAGAGAGAAGCAGCCACCGTCTGTCCAGCCTTGAGCCCCTGACCCCTTCCCTGAGCTGGACAGCCTGGGCTGAGCCCCACCTAGGAGTCGGCTCACACCCCAGTCCTCTAGCCTGTCCCTGCTTGCAAGACCCCCTTACCATGCTGGCTGTGCACAAGGCCAAACAGGGCAGTCAGAGCCAGGAAGCCAGGAAGCCACAGGCCTCGGACGTGCGCCATAGTGCGTCAGCTCCTGAGACTCTGAGGGATCGTCCTGACTCTCTGGGTTAATATTGAACAAACGTGAAGAAATCAGCAGACAGGGAGAGGTCAGCGGGTCAGGGCCATGGGGACAAATGGATAGATAGTCTTGTTCACCCCTGCCATCCTGGAAGACAGGTCCTTTGGGAACCAGGGATGTATGGTCTGGGAAGAAGTTGCAAAGAAAAGGTCACCACTGCTGGGCACGGTGGCTCACGTCTATAACCCCAACATTCTGGGAGGTGGAGGCAAGAGGATTGCTTGAGCCCAGGGGTTCGAGATAAGCCTGGGCAACTTGGTGAGACGTTGTCTCTACAATATATCAAAAATTAGTCAGGTGTGGTGACACACGCCTGTAGTTCCAGCTACTTGGAAGGCTGAGGCAGAAGGATTGCCTGAGCCCAGCAAGTCGATGCTTCAGTGGGCATGAGTGTGCCACTGCACTCCAGCCTGAATGACAGAGTGAGACTCTGACTCAGAAAGAAAATAGGGCCGAGCTCGGTGGCTCAGCCTGTAATCCCAGCACTTTGGGAGGCTGAAGCGAGTGAATTGCATCAGACCGCGAGTTTGAGACCCTCCTGGGCAGCGAGACCTCATCTCTACAATAAATCAAAAAATCAGCCGGGCGTGGTAGCGCATGCCTGTAATTCCGGCTACTTGGAAGACTGAGGTGGAAGGATCGCCAGAGCCCAGCAGGTCGAGGCTGCGGTGGCCGGGAGCGGCCACTGCACTGCAGTCTGGGCGACAGAGAGAGACTCCAACTCAAAAAAAAAAGAAAGAAAGAAACGGTCACCACCATCACCCACATCTCCCTCCCCGAGACATGGACAGACCTTGGCCAGTGGGACCCCCAAGTCCTTCCTGAGGTTCCTTCCTATCCTAATACACAGGATGGTTGTTTTTAATCTGTGTGCCTCAGTTTCCTCATCTGTACAATAGGAATAATACTTTGCTGTGAGGACAGGAGAAGATCATGAATGGAAAACCCATGGTAGGGCAAGTACCCTAACGATCAGTAGATATGTGCATGTAAGCCAATGGGGCTTTTTATTTTTTATTTCATTGAACTTAGGAGGTACAAATGATTTTTGGTTACATGGATGCGTTGTATAGTGGTGAAGAAGTCTGGGCTTTAAGTGTACCCACCAACCCAACCTGTGCATTGTTGCCAACAGGTTTTTTTCATCCCTACTCCCCAATAGGGAGGTTTGTATAATCATAATATACAGATATAAGAAACAGGGAAGGCCGGGCTCCGGGCTCAGTGGCTCAGCCTGTAATTCCAGCACTTTGGGAGGCTGAGGCAAGTGGATTGCCTGAGCTCGTGAGTTCAAGACCCGCCCGGGCAACTTGGCAAGACGTCGTCTCTACAATAAATCAAAAATTAGTCAGGCGTGGTAGCATGCGCCTGTATTTCTGGCTACTTGAAAGGCTGAGGTGGAAGGATCGCCGGAGCCCAGCAGGTCGAGGCTGCGGTGGCCGGGAGCGGCCACTGCACTCCAGCCTGGGTGACAGAGTGAGACTCCAACTCAAACAAAAAGAAAAGAAAAGAAACAGGGTAAAGGATGTGGCCAGATGAAGGTGCCCCCTTGCCCTGGATGCCCTGGGGATAGGGACAGCCAGTGTTTGCCCCTGCCTGCCTCTCAGCCACTCACGGAGGGGTCCATCTCTCCTCTTTCCCAACTAGAGTGCTGGGAAAAATGTGTTTGTATGCAGTGGTTATGTGGGAGGAGGAGCCAGGTTCAGAGATTCTTGGCCCTCTGGTCTATCTTCTCTCACCTCCCAGGACCTGGAACGCAGGCCAGTCTAAATCCTGGGTCTCCATGGCAGGACCCCTTCCTCCCCCTGCCTGTCTGCCCACAGCCAGGCATAGCGTGGCTTCTGGTCCTCCACTGTCCCTTGGCCCAGTCCTGCTCCTGTCCCTCCCCCATTTCCTGTTTGCAGTATGCAAAGTAAATATTAGTCCTGGGTCTTGGTGGGACAGAGGTACAAAGAGCAGGAACACAGGGAGGCGCAGGTGCTTGTCTTGTGTTCCCTGTCCTGCGGGCCTGGCTGATCGGGGTCTGGACCATGGTCATGTACAGTCTGGGAAGACAGAACTGGGGACCAGGACTCCCACAAATCACTGTCATTCCTGGGTGCCCATTTCCTATATATTTTCATAGATACGTGTGTGTGTGTGTGTGTGTGTGTGTGTGTTGTGTAGTTTGTGTAGTTTCTTTGTACACATATTTTTACTCATAAGCTTAGAAAAATGTTCCAGGTCTTATTGTCACCAGTGCAGTATGTATACTGCATGTGTAATGTTAGCCACACTAACAATCTTGGGGTCAGGCGCAATGACTCACACCTGTAATCTCAGCATTTTGGGAAGTCATGGCGGGCAGATTGCTTGAGCCCAGGAGTTCGAGACAAGCCTAGGCAACATAGTGAGACCTCATCTCTACAAAAAAAAAATCAAAAAATTAGGCAGGCGTGATGGCATGTGCCTGTAGTCCCAGCTACTCGGGAGGCTGAGGCAGGAGGATCACCCAAACCCAGGAGTTTGAGACTGTGGTGAACCATGATTGTGCCACTGCACTCAAGCCTGGGTGATAGTGAGATCCCAACTCAAAAAAGGAAAAAGACCTTCTTCTGTTAAATAATATGGCTATGCTTAAAAGGCTGCGTAAGCCAGGCTCAGTGACTCAGCCTGTAATCCCGCGCCTTTGGGAGGCTGAGGTGAGTGAATTGCCCGAGCCCGCGGGTTCGAGACCCACCTGGGCAACTTGGCGAGACCTTATCTCCACAATAAATAAAAAATCAGCCGGGCGTGGTAGCGTGCGCCTGTAATTCCGGAAGGCTGAGGCGGAAGAATCGCCAGAGCCCAGCAGGTCGAGGCTGCGGTGGCCGGGAACAGCCACTGCACTCCAGTCTGGGAGACAGAGTGAGACTCCAACTCAAAAAAAAAAAAAGGCTGCGTATTGAGCCAAGTATAATTTTTTGTGATGTGTGAAAAAGATGCTAATTATTGTTACACATTAAGCAATCAATAAAGAAGACTTTCATAGTTAAAAAAAAGAAAAAAGGAGCAATACTTGGACACCACGATCAACAGTGCCCGTTTTCACCTAGAGTGAGGTTTTAACTGAGGTTGAATTTAGACCCAGTAATGTTCACAAATTGTACGTGCGGAACTCACATTTTTATGTAAACACACATGAAACCAGCTTTACTAGGTTCTTTTGTGACGCCTCTCAGCTGGGCCCCTAAGATAACCACTATTCTAACCACTATCACCACACATCAGTGTAGCCTGCTTTTGAACTTCATTTGAATGGAAACCTATAGTATTTGCTTATTTGTGTCTGGCTTTTCTTGCTCAGCGTGTTTCTGAGATTTATCCACGTGTACGTGTCAGTAGTTCATTTCTTTTACTGCCTCATTCACTGAATGAATACAGCACATTTTATTTTACCCATTCACCTGCTGATGGGCATTTAGATTCATTTCCAGTTTGGGGCTTCTACAAATAGCGCTTCTATAAATATTCATGTACAAGTCTTTTGGCCTAAATAAGCATTTATTTCTGTTGGGTAGACGTTCAGGAGTGGATTTGCTGGGTCATGACGTAGGCGCATGTTTTGCTAAAACAGACATGATGGATGACCATCCCTGGTGGCTGGGCAGGTTTACATACCCACCAGCAAGGTTTGGTGTCCCAGTTGCTTGTGTCACCAACTCTCAATATTATTCATCATTTTGACATGAATCGTCCAATGGATGTGTTGGTGTGTCTCATTGTGGGTTTTTTTTTTGAGTTGGAGTCTCACTCTGTCGTCCATGCTGACATGGTGACAATGCTCATGGCCACCCTAGCGTTGACCTGCTGGGCTCTGGTGATCCTTCCACCTCAGCCTTCCAAGTAACTGGAACTATAGGCACACGCTACGACACCCAGCTAAATTTTGACTTATTGTAGAGATGAGGGTTTGCCAAGTTGCCCAGGCTGGTCTCGAACCCACGAACCCAGGCAATCCTCTCATCGTGGCCTCCCAAAGTGCTAGGATTATAGACATGAGACACGGTGCCCAGCCCTCACTGTGGTTTTAGTTTTGTATTCTCTGTTGACTAATGATATTGAGCCTACTTTTTTTTTTTTTTTTTAAGTGAAATGGTGAAAAGATCTCACCTCACTAATTTATTAGAAAATGTCATATTGAGGCCGGGCATGGTAGCTCATGCCCGTAATCCCAGCACTTTAGGAGTCTGAAGTGGGAAGATCACTTGAAACCAGGAATTCGAGGTTAAAGTGAGCTATGATCATGCCACTGCACTCTAGCCTCGGTGACAGAGCAAGATCCTGTCTCTTAAAAAAAAAAAAAAAAAGGCCGGGCTCCAGTGGCTCAGTTTGTAATCCCGCGCTTTGGGAGGCTGAGGTGAGTGGATTGTATGAGCCCGCGGGTTCGAGACCCGCCTGGGCAACTTGGTGAGACCTCATCTCTACAGATAAATAAAAAATTAGCCAGGCGTGGTAGTGTGCGCCTGTAGTTTCAGCTACTTGGAAGGCTGAGGTGGAAGGATCGCCAGAGTCCAGCAAGTCTAGGCTGCAATGGCCGGGAGTGGCCACTGCACTGCAGTCTGGGCGACAGAATAAGACTCAAACTCAAAAGAAAAAAAAGCTGGGCTTGGTGGCTCAGCACTTTGGGAGGCTGAGGCAAGTGGATTGCCTGGGTCCATGGGTTCAAGACCTGCCCAGGCAACTTGGCGAGACCTCATCTCTACAATAAAAAAAAAAAAAAAAAGAGTAAGTCAATTCCTACTTAGTAAAAATCTTTAAAAATATGGGATCAAGTGTTAAACTTATGAGCAAGGAAAATAACTATCTGGGGTGATGCCCGAATCCTAACTGCTGACACCAGACGAATTTTTGAGTGGGCAAAGGTTGCCCCTAAGGTGACTCACCTACTTTGCAGGATGCCTGGGAGTCACTATCTGCCCGACTCCCTTACTTAAGAAAATATATGGGATCAGCCAGGTGTGGTAGCTCATACCTGTAATCCCAGCACTTTGGGAGGCAGAGGTGAGAGGACTGCCTGAGCTCAGGGGTTCAAGACCAGCTTGGGGAACCTGGTGAGACCTTGTCTCTACAACAAGTCAAAAAAATCAGCCAGGTGTGGTGGCGTGGGCCTGTAGTTCCAGCTACTCAGAAGGCTGAGGCAGAAGGATCACCTGAGCCCAGCAGGTCAAGGCTGTGATAGCCATGAGCATGCCACTATACTGCAGCCTGGGTGACAGAGTGAGACTCCCACTCAAAAAAAAGGGATCCACAGAAGACAGAAAAGTTACCACGGTGCAGTCGACACTGGGAACCACTGATCTCATCTGGCAGTCCCACGTATCTTTGAGGCCATGGAGGAAGCAGAGTGGGAAAACCAAAAGATCAAGGTCATGTCGAGACCTTCCTGTGTCTAAAACTACTCAGTAACTACCCATTGGATGATTGGCTCCATTTCTCTGCATATCCTAAGCCATATTGGCGCCTTTTAAGATTAGAAAATATAAGCCGGGCTTGGTGGCTCAGCCAGTAATCCCACGCCTTTGGGAGGCTGAGGTGAGTGGATTGCCTGAGCCCGCGGGTTTGAGACCTGCCTGAGCAACTTGGTGAGACCTCATCTCTACAATAAATCAAAAATGAGCCAGGCGTGGTAGCACGCGCCTGTAGTTCCAGCTACTCGGAAGGCTGAGGTGAAAGGATCGCCGGAGCCCAGGTCGAGGCTGCGGTGGCTGGAAGTGGCCACTGCACTCCAGTCTGGGTGACAGAGTGACACTCCAACTCAAAAAAAGAAAGAAAGAAAGAAAGAAAGAAAATATAGTTTACTTAGCAAATTAGAGAGAGAAAAAGGAGATTCACCTCACCAAGGGAGGAGAGAGGACCAAAGCCAGGAAACATGGCAACGACTATATCTCAAAGAGCACATGGCCACACCAGAGTCTAGTAAGGCAATGACCCATGCTGGCAGCCTTCTAATTGAGTTCCCCACAACTGCATCTTGCCTGCTAGGCCACTGCAGCTTCGATCTGCTGGGCTCAGGAGATCCTTCCAAGGAGCTGAACTGTAGGCGCGTGCCACCACACCCGGCTAATTTTTGGGTTTATTGTAGAGATGAGGTCTCGCCAAGTTGTCTAGGCTGGTCTCAAATCCCTGGATTCAGGCAATCCTCTCTCCTCCATCTCCCAAAGTGCTGTGATTACAGACATGAGCTACTATGCCTGGCTTCTAGCAGTCTTTCCAAATACAATTCTGATCACGTCATTCCTCTGCTCAAAACCCTTCAGAGCTCCGGTGTCCTGAAAACCAACTCCTGAGGCAAGGCCCCATGGGATCTGGGCTGCTTCCATCTCCCTATCCTTGCCTCAGCCATGCTGGTCCCATTGGTCAGACCTACCAGGCTGGACCACAGGCTTTTTAACAGGGCTCGCACTTCCCGCCTCCTCATTCGAGTCACAGCTGAAACAAGGGACAGTTGAGAGCAGAGGTGATGAGCCCGAGTTCAGCACTAGATTACATGAACTTGAATCTCAACCTACTCATAGCCTTGTGACCTTGAACAGGACACCTAAAGCTCTTTGTTCCTGTTTCCTGATCTGTAAACCAAGAAAACTATTACTACCTACCTTGCAGGGTTGCTATGAGGATTATATAAATAAACCCACCTAAAACACTGGCCCGCATAAAGGTTGAGTGTTTCTTGTCATTATTTTTCCTGGGAACGCCTTCCCTGTTGCACCAGACCATGTTAAACTGTCCCATTAGACACATCCATAGCACCCAGCCATGTTCCCTTTGAACTCTTATCTGATGATCTCAGTGCCCCACCTGGTGGATCATGAGCTCTGTAAAGGGCGCTCTGACTGTTGTGTTCACAGCTGTCCTAGCATCTAACCCAGTCCAGGTCCACAGTAAATGCACAACAGACATCCTTCCCTGAAACAGGGTGGCCTGCAGGCCAGGTATACAAAGAGGCCCAGACCAGGCCCTAGCCACCTGCCAATAACCTAAAGCCTGAGTGAGAGACTGGGAAGTGAGCCAAGCTCAGCCTTTTAACCCTCAAGTCATCCAACCTGGTTCCAAGTAGAAGCACTCATCCACCAGGGAGTGCCGTGTGTGTGACTACCAGGCTCTAAGCACCCAGGCAGAGCATAGTGCTGCCAACTATGACCTCGCCAGGTGGGGTCACTTCAGCAGTGTTTAAAGAACAAGCACCACGTGGTGTTCCAAGGAAAGGAGGCCAAACAAGCTCTACTGGATGTTAATTAAAAGATCATGGACCCAGAAGAGGCTTTACCTAATCGTCTTGGGAAACTACTTGGGGGTTCCCTAACAGGAAGGGAAGTCCCTGACCTGTTCCTCACAGGAGACTCTAGTCCCTCCCAGGCAACCAACCCAAAGAGAAGGAAGATGCAGACACCAGCAGCTAGAAAACACAAGTCTTTATGGGCACTGCCGGGAGAAGGGGAGGTGTCAGGTGCCCGTCTCCAGCTCCACCACTTCTGCCCAGGCGCTCAAGCCTGTGTCCCTGTGGATGAGCACGAGGCTGGCGGGGCCCGGCTGCTCTGGCACCACAAAGCACTTCTCTGGGCTCTCGGAAATGGCCACCTCGACGATGTCCCTGGCTGGGGAGACTTCCTGTTCACTGCATGTGTCTAGCAGCCCTGGCCCCGTCTGCAGAAGCACCACCATGGGCTCAGAAGCAGGAGACACAGAGGGGGGGCTGGAGGGTGCCTCAGGCTGGTGGCTCAGTTGGTGCCGCTTGAGGCTCTGGGGGAGGGTGTAGCCCATGCCACAGGTGGGGCAGCGGTAGGGCTTGTCCGCCAGGTGGGATTTGAGGTGGCGTCGCAGCTTGGTAGCCAGGGTGTAAGCACGGTCACACTGGGGGCACGGGAAGGGCCTCTCTCCAGAGTGTAGACGCTCGTGAGCACGGAGCGTGTGTGGGTCGCGGAGGGCCTTCCCACACACGGGACACAAGTGGGCTTCCCCAGTATGGGAGATGAGATGGCGCCGCAGCTCAGGCAGCTGGGGAAAGGCATCGGTGCAGTGTGGGCAGCGGTAAGGACGCTCTCCAGTGTGCAGCCGCAAGTGCCCACGCAGGTTGCCCCGCTGGCGGAACGCCCGGCCACAGTGTGGGCACAGAAAGGGCTTCTCCCCTGTGTGGAGCCGCATGTGGTTCCGCAGGGAGCCCTGGTTGGCCAGGAGCCGCCCACACACGGGACATGGGCATGGGGCAGGGGCAGTAGGCAGTTGGTGGGTCTTGCGATGTAGCCGCAGGGAGGGACGGCGGGCAAAGGCCTTGCCACACTGGTCACAAGCAAAGGGCCGGGCACCTGAATGTACCACCTGGTGCTCTCTGAGGTCTCGCCGAGTGCCATAGGCCTTGTCGCACTGTGGGCAAGGGAAGGGCCGCACCCCACGGTGGCCAAGCATGTGGGCCTTGAAGCTTTCCTCTGAGCTATAGCTCTTGCCACACTCTGTGCAAAGAAAAGGCTTGTGGCCTGTGTGCACGAATGCATGCTTCTTCAAGTGGCACAGCTGCAGGAATGCCTTGCCACACTCCCCACACCGGTACCGTCGCCCTTGCTTTGGAGAGCTTCCTGCTGGGCCAGGAGGTCTCCGCGAGAGCACAGGAAAGCCGGGGTGCTGGGCCCCAGGCCCCGAGGCCTTTGCTCTGAGTGAACTTTTATCACTGGGGCTACGTAACTTCTTGGTCAAGTGGGTCTGCAGCTGGATGCCCCTGGCAGAAGATGAGAAACTGGCTTCACTGCTCTCTGGGCCCTGCTGGGTAGTTGAGGTGCTCTGACATTCAGGTGGCACCTGTGCTTGGTGATCTGTGGAAACTTGGTCCTGGGTTTGGGACTTAAATCCAGGGCTCACTGTACTCTCTGCCTGGATCATAGGGGGTGACTGATGACCAGGATCTGCAAGACAAGAGTGGGGTGCTGGGGTTAAGAGAGCTTTGTAGCAGGTGGTGTTACCAGAGAATTAGAGGAACAGGAGGGGGACCAAAAAAAAAAAAAACTGAATTATTTTTTGGAGGGTAGAACCCTTGTAGTACAGGACTCCCCCACTGGATAAGTATTCTAGGAACCCACTGGCATCAGTGTACCAGCTAGCATTGCTGTGAGAGGTTGCGTTTGCTTCAGTGAATTTTTTTTGGAGATTCTTTCAGTGTGTTTACCCACTTCATGATGGGTAATGATTTATGAGTGCACCCACCCAGACTGCACTGAGTATTCAGCATTTTTTGACCAAAAACAGCATGACTCCCAATCTTGCCCCAAGTGACTTTTTTTGTTTTCCCGGATGAAAAAAGTTCTCAGAGGGAAACGTTTTGCTGATGTGGAAGAGGTGAAACAAAAAAAATGGTAGAAGCGCTAAAAGGCATCAAAATCGACAAGTTCAAAAACAGTTTTGAGCAGTGGAAAAAGTATCTTGATAGGTGTATTGCAGCAAATGGAGAGTACTTTGAAGATGACTGAAGTTTAAACATGTAAGAATAAATCTGCCATTTTTTATACATAAATTATGTTTGGGGGGGTCCCTCCTCATATGTGTTTTCTCTTACCCAGTCCCTGAACCCCGGCAGAAGCAGTGACACCAATCTCTTCCCTGGAGCATGAAACTCCATCTCCTGTCAAGCCTGAGGTGCCTCCTGGGGAAGCACTACTGACAACCACGGAGCCCCAGCCATCTGGATGATCCCTAGAGTCATCCTAGATTAAAGGTGGCCTTATTCTCCCTCTGAAGATACATATTCAGAATGTGATTTCAGACCCCCGCCTTCTCACCTTAGCTCATCTATAAAATAAAGCAACTCTCAACCCATCCTAAAGAAGAAACATAAAAAGTTGGAAACAGGCCACTGCCTTGCTAAGCTATGGTGTGGCCATGTTCTCTTTGAGCGATGACCAGGTCATATTTTCTTAAGCTTTGGCCCCCACTCCCCTCTCTTGGGAAGGTGAATTCCCTCTTTCTCTCTTTCTCTCCCCAACTTACTTTCTAAATAAACTATATTTTCTAATCTAAAAAAAAAGGTTGGAAACATTGTATGTAACTTATTGTTTTCATCAACATGATCTTACTATTTCAGGAAGCTCTTAGGTAAAATAAAAGCTGCAAACATCTTTACTGTTTATTCCAAGGAAAAGACACATCACTCTTCAACAGAAAACATCAAATGATGATTTAAAGTCCAGAATTCCCAAAAGTCCGCCAGCTCCCTATGTCATGATTCTTTCCTTTTTTCTTTTTTAGAGACAGTGTCTCACTCCATCACCCAGGCTGCAGTACAGTGGCACAATCATAGCTCACTGTAACCTCAAACTCCTGGGCTCGAGCAAGCTTCCCACTTTGGCTTCCTGAGTAGCTGGGACTACAGGTGTGTGCCACCGTGCCCAGCTAATTAAAAAAATTCTTTTTTGTCCAGACTGGTTTCAAACTCCTGGTTTAAGCAATGCTCCCATCTCGGCCTCCTGAAGTGTTAGGATTACAGGCATCAGCCACCGTGCCTGGCCTGTTATGTCATGATTCTTACGCAATCCTATTTAAGCCCTGGTTTCCCATTCACACTGAAAGATCCAGATTTTGAAATGTGACCAAGACCCTGTCGTGTTCTTCTTCACCACACTGAGCCATGAACTCTGCTTTGTCTCAACAGGATGCTCTGGTGACAATCTAGGAAGCCAGTATTTGTTTGACACATACCTGTGCAAGGTTCTGCTGTATCCTCCCCCGGGGAGTCCACTTCCTGTTGTACAGCAGATTCCTCTTCTGCCACCACTGCCACAGCTGCCTCTTCCTCGAGCCCAGGCTGTGTGGGGCTTAGGCCCTCAGAGGGAGGCCGGGGCCACAGCAGCAGCTCACAGCCAGGCAGCACGACTTGGTATACCTGCAGATGAAGCCTCTCGCTGATCCGCATGGGGGCCACATTTCCCTCACTCTCCAGCCTGCCTCGCTGCACCAAACTGCAAAGTAAAGCAGTTAGCTCAGGAGTCCCTCTTCAAGTGGCCTACCCTGAAAGCTCCAATACTCAGGCAGTCTGAGTCCTAAAGGATGCCAGGCCTTTGGAACGTTCACTTCAAAAGGTCACTGGGTAGGGAATTACAGTCAGTTTCAGGTTCCATCCCAAACCACAATAGAATGTTTTGAAGGAGTGTATTCACTACACACTCTCCTCTAACTTACCTGGTCCAGTCTAAACTCTGTTCACAGGCGTACACATCTCCCCATGGGTCTAATGACAGGTCCTGAAATAAACCAACAGAAGTCCTTCTCAAATGTGTTTGAGGGGGCCAGGTAGGGGGAAAAAAAAGGAATGAAAGCTTTCCTGGGACGAATCTAAAACGAAACCCCTAGAAGTTTCATGGTCACTGGTTCTGCCTCTTCATTCAGTAAAAACCAGTAAGATTGTCCTCTCACCTCCCTCTCAAGAGTGTGAAGAATTACTAAACCGCAGGTCAGTGCTTTGGCTCACACCTGTAATCCCAGCAATTTGGGAGGCCAAGGTGGGAGGAGGACCGCTTGAGCCCAGGAGTTTGAGACCAGCCTAAGCAACATAGCAAAACCTCATCTCTACAGAAACATTTAAAAAATTAGCCAGGCATGGTCGTGCATGTCTGTAATCCCAGCTACTCCAGAAACTAAGGCAGGAGAGCCTGAGCCCAAGAATTCAATGTTTCAGTGAGTCATGATCATGCAACTGCACTCCAGCATGGGTGACAGAGTGAGACCCCCAACTCAAAATAAATAAATTAGAAGAGCCAGGCACAGTGACTCATGCCTGTAATCCCAGCACTCTGGGAGGTGGAGCCGAGAGTCTTGTCTGAGTCCAGGGCTGGCAAGATCTCATCTCTACAATAAACAAACAAACAAACAAACAAAATTAGTCAGGCGTGGTGGTGTGTGCCTGTAGTTCTAGCTACTTGAAAGGCTGAGGAGGGAGGATCACCTGAGCCTAGAAGGTCAAGGCTGCTGTAGCTGTGAGTGTCCCACTCCACTCCAGGCTAGGCAACAGAGACTCTTATTCCAAAAAAAATTTTTTTAATTAAAACAAAAAATAACTATCAACACATTAGTGCCTTCCAGTTAATACTAAACAGCAAAAGTAATGAGAAACATCAACTTTTAAAAATAGTATTATTATTATTATTATTGAGTGGGAGTCTCACTCCGTCATTACCCAGGCTGAAGTTCAGTGGCACACTCCCGGCCACTGCAGCCTCGACCTGCTGGGCTCAGACAATCCTTCTGCCTCTGACTTCCAAGTAGCTGGAACCAAAGGCAAGCGCCACCACATATGGTTAATTTTTAAATTTATTGTAGAGAGGAAGTCTCGCCAAGTTGCCCAGGCTGGTCTCGAATCCCTGGACTCAGGTAATCCTCTGGACTCCACTCCCAAAGTGCTGGGATTATAGATGTGAGCCACCGCGCTCGGTAAGGTTGGAATTTGATCCCACGTCCTCTTAATTCCAAAAGCCTTAGTTCTTCACTTTCGTCACTGCTGACACTGTATTAACTCAGCTTTTAACAACATTTTGCCTCTCAATTTCTTAACAGTTCCAAATGAACAAATCGGAGAGTGAGGAAAATGCGGCCCAACTTTTTAATCACAGAAAAACGCCCTGTCCTTCAGTACCTCCTGCGCAGGCTTCACTCCCTCGTCCTTCTCGGAGACAGACTCCTCTTCCAGCGGCCCCCAAAGCAGTCCTGGCTGCAGGGACTCCCCGACACACCAGACCCCCAAGCGCTGTTCTTTGGCGAGTGAGAGGCCAAGGGCCAAGCCCCGGGGGAGGCTCTTGAGAGCGAGGATGGCTCGGGTCGGCCTTGGCAGGAAGTCTCTGAGGCCCGGCGCACAGTCTTCTCCGGAGGGGCTCCATCCTAAGTCCAGGCCCAGGCGCGGCTCGGGGGCTGCAGGGAGATGGGAAGACCGTGAGGGAGCCACCCAGGAGGCCGTGGGGCGGGGAACGGTGTGGAGGAAGCCGCAGGCCCAGCTAGGCCTCAGGAGTCTCGGGGATATGCGCGGGATCTAAGGGGATCCTCTCAGAGGTTTCGGGGGTTCGAGGGCTCTTAAGAAGCCCCCAGCGACTCCGAGGGCACCGGAGGGAGATCCTGGGCCCGGGTGCAGAGAAGGCCGGGGTGAGAGAGTTGACCAGAGAACGTTAGATCCATCTAGGTCAGGCCTGACACCTCGCAGGCCACTCACCGAGCGGCAGAGCCTTCCCCTCCAAGAGCGGCTCCTCCGCCGCCTCCATTCCGGGTCAGAAAGCCTCCCCCGCCGGAAGTGAGTGTCGTCTTCTCAGCTCCTCCCGGAAACAATCATTGTCTTTCAAACTTCCTCTCAGGAAAGAATCCTCAGAGTCGGTACTCATTGGTGCACAAGACTGGGAATGTCGGAGTTCTTGTAAGGCAAAACTCTATCCGAGAACAATTCAAAGCTAGGATTCCGGAGGGCCACTGGAGATTCAAGTATCTGGGGAAGCGGAACTGTTGTCTCCGTCATGTGCTTTTGGGCTGGCGAGTCGGACAGTTAGGCTGTCTCTCCCCCGGGGCGGGCACTTACGGTGGCAAGTGCAGGAAGTGGGCGGAGCTCCTGGAAAGGCCATGTTTGGGTCCGGCAGCGGGTCGGAAGTGGGTTGAAAGTGTGGCGGAAGTAATTGGGGAGTGAGGCGAACGGGAGGGGGCGGTTCCCGTTCCATCGCGGAGCCGGATGTTTGCCGAGCCTTGACAGGCGTGGCAGAGAGAATAGTGCCCGAGCGCGGTGAGCTGTAGGGCGCGGGGTCTCCTCGGGGTGGGGGTGGGGGTGGGGGTGGGGGTGGGGGAAGGAAAGGAGCTGGCCGGGTCGTCTAAGGGATGAGGTCCGATGGGAAGGACCTGCGCGGACCCGAGGAGGGGGAGCGGGGGTGGAGCTGAGCTTGGGGGCCTGGTTTCCTGCAGGGTTTCTGCCCCATTTTGGCTCCTGTAGTAAGAGGACTTCAGAAACACCTTCACTGCCTTCTTGCTCTCCCTTGGCAGAGGCCAGGCCAGACCCCTGTCATCGGTCAAACCCGTGAGAGGGGGAAGTCTCCTTGGTCCGATCTGGCAAGAAATTTGGGGGAAGTGTTCCACTCTGCCACTCATCAGGCTCCGCTTTCATCTCAATTTCTGAACCTAGGAAATGGGATAATTGCACCCGACTCGGGTTTTGTAGACTGTGAAGCTCTAGGCAAATATAATTGGAGTTGAGAGTTGTAGTTTCCGTTGTATTATGGTGGGATTGAAGTTTTGTGATTCTGCACCTAGGAGGCCGATTCCAGCGTCAGAAAATGTGACTTCAAGTTGCTCCCTCTGCTCTGAGCAGAAGAGGAGATTACAGGAGAGGCTTGCTCTTTTGTGGCACCTCTCTGAGTCCTGAGAAGTGCGTGAATGACAGTCACATAGAGAATTGTCGAGGAACTGACTTTCACAAGAGACCACCTGAGACAGACAGGCATGGTGCTCTACTCTGTGCAAAATACACCCTATTCTAAGAAGGGAAAAATTAATCTCCGAGTAAGGTGCACTTTGCAAGGAGTAGAGCAGGGCTTGTGGTTGGCCAGTGTTTTAGGAAGTGGGGATACTTTGTTTCCCCGACTTCTCTTTGATGTTAGTATTTCCCTGAATTAGCTTCCTTACCCTCTCACTGAATGGGAGCTAAACTTCCTGGCTCAGGGAAGGCAACAGCTGTGGGTTAGAGGGTGGTAGGAGAGGCCCATCTGGTCAGGAGGTGGGAACAACTGTGATTCGTTATGAAAAAGAAGGTTATGTAGTGGGGAGAGAGGGCTGAGGGAGGTCAGATCTGGAGGAAGTGACAACAGAGGAGGAGTTACTGTAAAAGAGGTGGAGTTCAAATTCAGCTCTCTTTTAGATGGTGTCCATCTCCCTCACACATACCTCAGCTCCCAGCTGTTCCTTCTAGTTCTGTTGTGCAGCACAAGTATTTCTGAACACTGGATAATTCTGTTTCCTTCCTTCTTTCCTTCTTTCTCTCTCTTTTTTTTTGAGTTGGAGTCTCACTCTGTCGCCCAGACTGGAGTGCAGTGG